CCTACACACTTTTTAAGTAAAGGCAACTTGTCACTTATAAAGACACAGTCTTGTTCTTTTTTTAAAGGCACTAAAGATTTTATTTCATTTTAATGTACATCCATGTAATCCACACTATTAGCAAACCATCAATTAAGATTTTCGCATAATAAATGGCTAATCAGCAGCTAATGAAGAGTTGTTAAGTTAGTAGTTGGGTTTAGAAATGAGGGATGTATAATAATATGATTTTATAAGATGTAAAATGTCAATGAGATGTGAAAATGTCAAAATATGAGTGAAATAATGTTCCATTGTCATTCAGTGTTATATATATTATGCCAAAAAAATAGTTGGTAAAGCATATTTTGAATTGTAGGTATTAAAATATATAATTAAGTTATAATTATAACTTTTATTGTGTAATAAATTATTAAAATCTTGCTGACACCTGAAGATTTTTTTGGTATTTAAACAATTTGCTATACTGAATGACATTTTAGTTGGTGTCTTCAATAGATATATCTTCAATTCAATATTACTTGTACAATTTTCAGTGCTTTTCTTGTTTTCAACATTTCTTGTTTCTTTTCAGAAAAATGGCCTGGATTAGAATCGTCATCATCATCAGTATGTTCATCTCATTTCTGCAAGCGCATAAGGAGTGCACCAGACACATCAAATGGGGACATCTCATTCAAACTTTAAATTCAATGGTAAATGTCCTTAAATAAAATATGAATGTTCCATTTTCTGAAACATCAACTGAACAAACACACTTTATGTTTCCCAAGGGCACGGCGATATCTCACAACTGTGCGTTTGACTATGATGAAGCCAGTCTGTGTGATCCACGACACCTCCTCAATACGGTTTGTACTGATAAAAATGTTTGGTAATATTTTAGCTGAAGTGATAAATTCATTTACGTCTGCCTTATTACTTGCCTATTATTACCATATTAACTGTTTATTAGCACTTATACAGTCTGATATTATTCTACATCCCTAATACTGTATCTAAACCCAACTACCTTAATAATAAGCAGCTACTTAGTTGTTCATTGAGCCATTTTCTAAGGTGCCGTTCACACAGAATGCATTTTTCTTCTCCAATGCGTTACTTTTCGATTGTTTTTCGATGTAAACACACACTTGATAGGTAGTGTGTTGACCATTACGCTCACATCTTGCGTCTTTTAAAACACTTTGCACATGAGCGTTGCATTTTTTAGATGCTGTGTCAAGTTTACAAATCTACAACTTTTACATGCATGCAGCGATGCTCATCACTGTCGGTTCCACAGCAGTGGACCAAACAGAAGAGCTCGGAGAAGGGGCAACTGTTGCGAGCTTCTGTTTATAGTTGAAAAGTGGCATGAAAGTGTTAGTAGAAAGTGTTTTATTTACTATTATTTCATGGCGGACGAGACAATTATTGCGATCTCGTCCAGAATACCCTGAGTTATATGATGTATCTGCAATTGTTTATCATAACATATTGTTTTCCTATTTCTAATGGGTCTGTTATTCACATTATTACGTTCATTATATCATGATGTCAAGTGGACCTCATGCTATGCTGCACGTTTTAAATGCATTCCTGAGCGCAACATTAAGTGTTTTTAGAAGTACAGATGCACTTGGTGTGAATGAGCTCTAATGGCAGTGATTGTTTTGAGCAACTTGCATTTAAATCGCCTGCTGTGCCTCAATTTTGCCTTTGCACTCTGTGAGCCTGCACAAGTCACCTCTTAGTGGAAAAAATGTGCTACGTCAGTCGTGCGTTTTTCAATCTCCGATGAAATGAAAGCAGAGGCAGGGTTTCTACTGAGGTGACAGCAGTGTTTGTGTTGTTAAGACAACTGAAGAGACATTTATAGATGGAGAAGAGACTAGTGGCAGCTGTTTCGAGTTATCTGGAGCTGTATGACTTCACAAATCATGAATATCACAATATTAAAACTATAACAATATCAAGAGCAAGGCTCGGACACAATACAGAGCTGATTCAGTGGTTGCCTAGTGACATAAAAAGCGCAGTGCACTTCTTTTTTTCTTGTTAGCAAAGAAAAAGCAGTGTGGTGCACCTTGCGTTCTCGTGGTCGACCCCTTAATGGTTTATTGTCAAACTTAATAGTATGAATTGTACATTTCCATAAATAAAAGTGTGACCAATTGTTTATTTACAACACTAACATCAATGCTCTACGATTTACAGATGGATCAAACTGCAGACTCCCTCATCCATATTGTCAAGAAAGCAGAACACATGTACATGGAGAATCCAGATCCCAAGACGTTCATTGAGGCCCTTCAGCACACACATCACAGCCTGAGCCACTGTGTAAGAAATGCTGCACTGACTGTGGTATTATTAGTTTTAATACTCCTCGTATTATCAACATGGTGATCATATTGTTTATATTTCCTGGCTAGGTTTCTCACTCGGTCGGTGTTGAAAATGAGTCTGTGAGCACATGCTTCAACAAATTAGAAGATTTTCTTAAAAAGAAGGTAAGATATATGTCTGTCTGTCTGTCTGTCTGTCTGTCTGTCTGTCTGTCTGTCTATCTATCTATCTATCTATCTATATGTCTGTCTGTCTGTCTGTCTGCACTGAGTTGGTTTAATCCAAATCTGGTTAAAATATGGACCAGCCAAACAAGGTTTGGTTAGAATTTTAATTACATTTTAACCCACCTGTTGGGTTTTGCATATTTTACCCAAATTTCGGATTTTTTTTTTCATTATTTATTGATTTACATTATTTATTTACTTGTTTCGTTTCTTCATTCATTCCTTCTTTCCTTTGTTAATGTATTTATTTATTATTTAGATTTTTTTTGCATTGTTTGAATGTTATATGAACAACTGTGGACGAATTTCTAGTATTGATTACAATACTTGACAATTGTGTTTCTTCCTTTCACTGATAAAACCCAACGTTAACGTTTGTCTATTTTTATTAATGTCTACATATTTATTTTCTTCTTCTTTTTTTCAGTTCCACTCAACATGTGCATGGGAAATCATTAATTCAAAAGTGCGAGAGATTCTTCAGCGGCTGGAGAAACGCTCTGTCAGACGGCGACGTTAAGAGATTACTACACATCCCTACGTATATACTTGAATTAAATTGCAAACACTATGTCATTTAAAAGCTTGATGGATATATATTGTACTGGTTTTAAGAAATGCACTTATCATACTAAATATTTGAGTCATGAACTGATTATTTGCGATGTTTAAATTTGAACAATAAATCTATAGTTTTGTACTGTTTTATAAAGAAAATTATGAATTATGCATTTCAAATTCATGATTTGTTGAGTCATGAAAAGATTATTGCTGTGTGAGATTGTGTATTATGTTGATTTTTTTATTATTATTTATATATCCACTATTAAAATGTGTCTTCTAAGATATTGCATGTCTGTGTTCTCTTTCTTATGTATAATATTATTTATTATTATAATAATATTGCTACCTAATGTTAGTTCTTAAACATATAAGAAAACTAATCTAATCTATTTTACTATCATGTCACTTGAAATCAATAAATTCCCTGTATTAATGCAATATAATATGTAAACATTTTCTATAAAACAGATATCTAAAAAAACTGTTTAGTACACATTTAAAAGGTTTGTTGTCAGATCTGTTTCTGATTATAGAACACAATATAATATTCATATTTAGAAACAGCAGTTTGTTTTTAGAGGTTGTTTGTTGACAATTCAAGAAAACATGTCATGTAAATAACTATAAATGATGCTCTTCCATATGCAATTCTTGTGTATTTATTATATAAACCAACTGACAGCAGCACACACTAAAATAATGGTTGGAATTTAAAGCTACACATAGGCCTATTTATAATAACACGAGTGTAAAGTTTCATTCATTATTCACGTGTATAACAAACAGTTCATGACAACGAAATTCCCGGATAACAGATAAAACAAGTAAACTTTTTTAAAACGACAGGATTTTAACCTTTTTAATTGCAAGGGTTATAAATGATGTTACTGATTTGGTAAACAAAAACACACAAAATTACATATTTTCAGCATAAAAAGTAAAGGGCTGTTTTTTTTCCATTTCATCACAGGACGTGTGAAAGATTAGTAACAACATTGGCTCAGATGCATTGTTAGATGTTCTAATTTACTGTTAGCATAATAAAAAGTATTAATGCAATATAAAAAGTAAAAGTTTTCTATAAAACAGATATCCAAATCTAAAAAAAAAAAACTATTTAACATTTGAAAGGTTCGTTATCAGATCTGTTTATGATTTCTAATTATATTATACAGTAATATAATATTCACATTTAGAAACAAAAGCTTGTTACAGAAGTTGTTTATCGACAATCCAAGAAAACATTTAATGTAAATAACTGAATTAATAACTGAGTTCAGATGCAAAAAACCTTTAAGTGCCGTCTGAAATTTCCATTGAAAATGAACATTTTTCTCAGCCTCCTTTGTTTATGTTGAAATATTTCACATTAAATACCAGGAAAAGCACTTATGCTTAGCCATAAAAGTGTTATTAAGCAACTAACATACACACAGGAGAAAATTTCAGACGGCATTTACAGATTTTGGCATCTAAACTCTTCAAGTATAAATGATGCTCCTCCATATGCAATCCCTGTGTATTTCTTATATAAACCAACAGACGGCAGCACACACTAAAATAACGGTTGTAATTAAAAGCTATTAAGATCCGCATATTTTTAATAACACAGAGCACATTTCATTCATTATTCACGTGTATGGCAAACAGTTTATGACAATGCAAATCCCCGATGACAGATGTTTATGTCCAATACATTTTATTTCAGTGGTCTTGCTCTCCGAAGGAATTTTAATTTACCGGATCTAGACCATATAAGTCAAGTGCAAAGTTATCCACCGCCCACATCACCTTCCTTCGCGGAAGAGAGTCTGCTATTGGTTAAAGTTCTGGCGAGAATGCGAAATCTGCTCAGCTATTGGCTGAGAGAGCTGTCAAACACATAGATCGCTGATGCAGGTTCAGCGAGGACGTGCAGGAGGAGACCGCTGGAGAGAGAAGAGGAGAGGGGAGGATAGAGTCTCCCAACCGGCACAAATCTATTACAGCTATATTTATTGATTATTGTAATTTAATATATTGTAAGTAACAAAAGGGAAAATGGCTCAATCGGACAATAAGAGGTTTTTTGAGAACCTGACAGGCGCTGGGAAAGCCATCGCGGTGCTGACAAGCGGAGGAGATGCGCAAGGTAACATCACAGTGATATCTTAATATTATTATTTCATAATGTATATCTATAATGCGTTATTATCGGTGTAATATACTTTAACTGTGTTCAGATGGATCTCTGGAGTATGTATGAATATCATGCTCATTCTGATGCACTGTAACGTAAGTTACCGTAACGTTACGTCAACATTGGGATCCACGACTGTCAGTTAAATATATTTAACGTTATTCGCCTCACATCTGCTATGTGTAACGTAAGTCATAATACTAAATTGTTAGAATTGTACATGTAGATTTAATTCTAGCTACAGACTGATGAAATGGCTAACGGCTGTCTCAGGGATGCAAACGTATAGCATCATATTTTCACAAGGTCATCGTGTTATCTTTGACTTTCACTATGATTTGGAAGTGTAATTATTTTTAATGTAACCACTGCTAGTTAAGTCTGATCAATATTAGTAAATAATACCGGCTGAGGTAATGATGTTGATGATGATGATGGGGAGGAGGAAAGGGATGGGGATACGCTAAAATCCACTCTTTCGATCACAATGTCTCCATTTAACGGACATAACTATTTCCCTCGGCTCTCTGCGGTGTAGGTGTGTATGTAATTACTTATAATTTACTCCGGTATTCGTGTCACTGCATTGCGGAATCATGTGACCTTCACCAACAGCACGTAGCATATCTTTCCAGCCTCCATTGTGACCAAATATTGATATGCTTACTTGCGTTTGTTTAATAATCACCACATCTGTGTTACCTCATCAACGCTTTCCTGTATGCCAGTTGAGGATTTTGCTTGTCGTCAACCAGGAAGTTGCTTCTCAGAGTCGCTTTCTTGTGTTTACCGTGTTGATATGCTTTGAAACACCTGTATGTTTCTTCATTGGGTTTATATTTTTGTTTAGAGTAGGTAAATATGGTGACATTAGGGTGAAGCATGGCATGCGTACGTGAGAAGCCGACGCGCGTTTTGAGCTGGAGAAAAGTTACGTCACAGGAAACTGAGTCATGTGGGCAACGCGCAAGGCATTATAAACCAATGTCACGTCAGTCATATTAAAAAAACAAAAAAAAAAAAAAAAAACAAGCCTTCACTATGAAAATTTGTGTACGTGCAGTCAAGAGGCTGCTTCTGCTTTAGGAGGCTGCTTACCTGATCTGACCTTCAAAATAACGTGTAACCTGATCTAGTCAGGATGATTAGGTCATATTAATTAAACATCATTTTTTTTCTTTTAATTATTATTACTTTATTTTTGTTAAAGTCACTTTGCACTTTTAATTGTTAAACCCCCTTCAAAAACTGGTATTTCCTTTAGGAAGTGGTTATGAGCCTGTTTTGTTAGAGAGAGAGAGAGAGAGAGAGAGAGAGAGAGAGAGAGAGAGATTATTACGATTTATTATTATTTTTTATTTGTATTTTTCTTTAATTATTATTTATTAATTTATTAACTTATTTTTTACTGCTACTAAAACTTTTTACTTTGTTTACTGTGTTGTTTTTAATGTAAACTTTATAAATGCTTTGGCAATACATTTGCAACATTTGTCATTCCAATAAAGCAATTATTGAATTAAATTGAGAGAGAGAGAGAGAGAGAGAGTTTATTATAAATGAATCATTGTAAATATACTGATTATTATTTATTATTACTGTTTTTTACATAAATGTAGATTGTTAAATGTATCGTTTATTCTGATTTATTATTATTTTATTTGTATTTTTAATTTAATATTAATAATAATTATTATTAGTTTTATTATTTTTAATTTAATTTGTATATTTATTTAATTATTATTAATTCATTATTTTTTCTTGTTTTTCATAATTTTATTTATATAAAAAATATACCTCTACTACAACTTTTTACTTTGCTTACTAAGTTGTTTTTAATGTAAACTTTATAAATGCTTTGCCAATATATTTGTAACATTTGACAATTATTAAATTAAATTAAGAGTCGCACACACAAACACCTAGACTATTATAAATGAATCATTGTAAATATACTGATTATTATTTATTATTATTGTTGTTTTATCCATACATTTTGATTGTTAAATTTACAGTTTATTCTGATTTATTTTTTTTATTTATATTTTATTGAATTATTATTATTTATATATTTTATTTATTTTTTTCTACTATTTACTGTGTTTACTATGTTTTGGTATATGTATTTACTTATTTATGTATTTATATATTTAACATTATATTTCAAATGATACAAAAGAAAAGCATATACAAACCTAGACTTTGTAAGAATATAAACATTTTAACTTTAACACATTTTTTGATTGTCAGATTAAAATACATTTTAAATGATTCATATTAAAATACATGGAAAGTAATGTTAAAGTGTTAATCTACAGGACCTTTTTAAAGTGTGTGAATTCGAAACTGCATTTCAATGTCATTGCATTTTAACCATACTACAAAAAAGCAATTATACAGTATATGAAGATTTAATAAAGGCCTATTAACTGTACATTTACATTAAATAGCATACTGTATCAAAGTCTACTCTTACACATCAATGATTTCAGAAAAGGGTAAAATTAGGGTAATGTCTCCAAAGTGGGCCAAAAAGTATTGTAAAATGTATATATTGTAAAATAATGCAAATTAATATAAATGTATTCAACAATACATTTCATTTAATCACATTTAACATGCAATAAGTATATTTTATTTTAGTACAAATAACATGCAATGTCAAGTGTCTGAAAACTCTAGATTTAGTGCATTATAAAATATACTATTAACAAAACTCCTTTTAAAGGCATGCTAAAGAGAACTTCTTTTTCCCAATAGACTTAATTCGAGACATCCAGTCTCATTCACTTCTATTGATCTTTAGACATTTAAAACAGCTCTTTACAAAAGTCAATGTGAGAAATGCAAATGTCCTGGTTCTGTACTGCAGATTACTATGTGGAAAATCCACATTTGATAGTAGTTAATGAGTCACCATAGACGAAAAGTGTCATTCTGAAATGAGAAATGTGGATCTGATGTAACTTACATGCAATATTAGTCAGTTCAGTGGCTTGATGTGTACCTGCACGTATGTGTTATAGGTGAATTCCCGTATTAACACTTTAGAGCAGCTGCTGAACACAAATAGCAGGACTGTATTTTTGTTTCAGTTAAATTGATAGACAGTGACAGACTAACTGGTGACACTGACACCTTTTGTCATTGATTTGAATGTGACCCATATCAGACTTAACATTTTGGCTGGCAAACAATGATAAACATGTGGGGAAAAAATGCCAAATATTTAAATTATTGGAGAAATCTTATTTCATAAAGATCGCTTCTCCCACAAAACATGGAATAAAAACAATATAAATAAAGATTACACATGCTCATTTCCATGTATAACCCAATGTTTTTAAATTAGTGCTTATGTGAAGGTATTCGGAAATAATTTTTAGAGGAAATTTAGAGAATATTAGCAGAAACACCAAACAAATAAGACAATTATTAGTTTTTTTATATTAATATTAATTTACTTATTAATATTTATGTTATCAGATTAGCTAAACATATGAAAAACATGTCCAAAACAGTTATAATGAAGATATAATCCAAGTTGTGAAGGCAAAACTACACTGCAAGCTTAACAACAGAGGAATATATTATAAGTGAAGAACGATATGAAAATTTATCACATAATTAATTTGTCACATAAATCTATTATGTGATATCAGGGGACTTTTACAGTGCGTTATCATTGTTTACTCCACACAACTGAATATATATATTTTTTGCATGACATCTTTTGAGTTTTACTTCTCAAATGTTGAAGTAACTTTTTAAATTTAATTTAATTATAATTTAATTTAAATTAATTTATTTTTTATAACACTAGATGTAAAAAGATGCTATAGCAATTTACGTTAAATACTTTCAAACCATCCTATAGTAAAGTAACTACTATAGTAGTAATAAAAAACAAATTATCCAATACTGTGGCACATTTTCTACAAGTATTGGGTATATAATACTACAACAATAAACCCCAGTTTACTGAATGGATGGATACTACAGTATTTATTACAGTTTATCACTATAGTTAACCCCAGCAGGCACAGGACGTCAACATACCTCAATGTCAGGGGATGCTGCATTTTGGGTGGAAATGAAATTCGGACAGACGTTGGATTTTGATCACTATGTGATCACCATTATGGTCACCAATGCAACCTAAAAGCAATTAAATATCAATGTACAGTATAATGGTGTTACAGCTTGACGTTGTGTGGACGTTACCATTATGACGTCTATCAGACATTAGATTTGGTTGCCATAACTGATGAATAAATGTCAGTATTTAACATCAGTATGATCAACTGATGCTCAACGTTAGATTTTCCAACACAACCTAAAGTCAACCAAATATCATCATTTGACGTAGACACTGGCCAGTCATTGAATTTTGGTCAACCGACATCACAACCTAAATCTAACCTAACATAAACCTCTGTCGTGCGCCTGCTGGGATAATTTAGTATGTTGTAGCATTCATTAGCAATGTATAATGCATTACAATATACACAATACACTTGCAGCTGGAAGGGTATCCACCGCGTAAAACATATGCTGGATCAGTTGGTGGTTCATTCTGCTGTGACGACTCCTAATTAATAAAAGTGACTAAGTCGAAAAGAAAATTAATGAATGAATTTATACACTTTACAAGACAATAATATGGTCCAAAAGCAATATAGTATTTAGTTTAAATTAAAATATTATGTTTTTATGTTGGATTAAAGGCACGAAAATCATTTTTTATGTTTGTATTCTTCATGAAAAGAAAATAGTAGATTATGAATTATTTATCCTTTTTTTTCTATTTTTGCTGCTGACATTTGATCACCAACAATATTGATACTGAAACTGTGTTTTTAAGGGATCGTGCTGTTTTGCTGTTCTCTCTTACTCATCAGTCACAGTCTGTTGTAATGTGTTGCCTAGAAACACCAATGTGCCTTTCAGTACGCAAATTTAGCATATTAAATCAAACCTGATATTGCCAAGTCTCGATTAAATCAAAATGTAATAGAAATCAATCTAGCCCCCAGAGTGGGCTGCAGGTGTTTTAAGATTTGCTGTAGAATAACATTTCAATAATGTTTCCAGCATGGAGTATAGCCTACTTCTGTTGTTGTGCATTTGATATGTTTCAATAAAAACATTTTGTCTCACATTCTCTGCATCCAGGAATGAACGCTGCTGTTCGGGCTGTTGTCCGTATGGGAATTTATGTAGGAGCCAAAGTCTACTTCGTTCACGAGGTCAGTCTCTTATTCAAAATGATGTCCTTACATACTTGGTATACTTACAGTAATTATTAATGAGACAAACTAGGAACTAGTGCTGTTGAACATATAATGGTCTAATAGCTCTCAGTGATGTTGTATGTCTTTCTGAATGGCATATTTATTTATAACAGAAGAAATGTTATTATTTAAAGGGCACTTATCATGCAAAAATCACTTTTGTAAGGGGTTTAAACTCTTGTGGCATGATTCGGTAAATATAACCAGCTTCTAATGGTCTAATGGTAGGCAGAAACACACTGTGTCTTATTTTTCTATCTGCCACTATACTGACGCATAGGCTTTTATAGCTCCGCCTTCTTTTAAAAAGAGCACAATCTCATTTAAATTTAAAGCGACCAAAAGTCACCAAACAGACACTATAATGCTGTGTTCACACCAGACCCGGAACGCGTGAGCAAATCGCGATATTCACACGTAAATAAACGTAAGAACATTTTGAGTTTACTTGCTTCTTTCGCACATCAAATTCACTTTACAATAGACGTGGATTCGCATCATGGACATCGCTTCTGTTTGCCCAGTGACTCTAGCTTCATTGCTAAATGGCTAACATGGATTTTATTAAAAGAGTAGCTGTGTTTATGTGCTTAAGGAAGGCTGAAAAATAGCGTTGATTCATTTGGAGCCGTGTCTGAGCCAACTAGATCCATTCAGAGGTGCACCCAACTCTGTGAGTTCATCAACTCCTCCAGAAACTACACCTGGAGGATGGAGGTTCTCAGTGGTGCTTCCGATTGAGCCAAGCTCAGTTTAATGAGCTGTTGTTTGGTGTCGGCAGCAGGCCCAACAACAGGCGCTACGTCTCCTGATTGGTAAACATGGCGCAAATGTCGGCTTAAGTTTTTCAACTCCAGCGAATCGTGCAATATGCATGTTAAGTGCGTCAATTGTGCAAAACGCTCAACTCCTGGCGATTTATCCGCGCGAATCGTGTCATTCGTACCACCACATTCACGCATATTGCACCACAGGATGTCTTTGCATTGACTTAACATGTAAATCACTTGCTCTTGATGCTTTATCCACGCCTGCTGTGAACGCCTCATTAGGACTAAAGCCTAAATGGGACAGATTCAAGGAGTTATAAAACATGTTTTGTGGGGTATTTTAAGTTGAAACTTAACATACACAATCTAGGGATTCTGACATCTTGTTAAAAAGGGGCAGAATATGTCCCCTTTAGGATGTATTATGAATACACACTACCTTTTAAGTAAAGCAAGCCATATAATGTAAATAATACAAATCTATTTTAGTGCTGTTGGCATGGCATAACTATTTCCACAGTGGTTTGAAATGAAGAGCCGAATATCTGGCCTCATATAAACACAATTTTTCCAGTAGCATCTGATAGAGCACCATGAGATGTCTGGCTTTAATGGGCTGCATATTTATGCGCCTGCTGTGCTCTTATGCAACAGCTCCAGTGAAGAAACCCACACGTACATCTTCTCCTGGTGAAAATGAAGGTGAAGTGTGCCATATCATTATTTGTCTGTGGCATTTGCTAAAGCAAGCATTTGCTAGTTCTGCTAATGATGCAGAAGTGAGACACCACGACTGTGCCAAGTAGAGACATTTTGTAAACACACAACCATGTCTTTGCCAAGCCAGAACATTGTCTGTCAATATCAGTAAGCTGGCTCATATAACAGAGGTCACTGAAGGAGAGAAGGGTGAATGTTTGATTGCATGTTTGTGTTTTACAGGGTTATCAGGGTATGGTGGATGGAGGCGACAACATAAAAGAGGCGACTTGGGAGAATGTGTCCAGCATGCTGCAAGTGGTGTGTGTGATAAAAAACACTCTTACATACCACTAATCCTGTTTACAAGAGGATTGGTTACTATGCACTGGTTACTATGTTACTGGCCCCCATTGGTCTCTAAGATGTCTTACTTTCAGTACTTTAATTCACTATTAATAACCAGAGTTTCTTACTTCAGTATCTTCGTCTTGAAGAATCCCCCCTCCCACCCCTATTCCTCCCTTCTTTTTCTAGACTGTGTGGCATGGCAGTCCAGTGATTAGCACTGTTGCATCACAGCAAGAACATCACTGGTTAAAAGTCCTTACTGAACCAGTTGATATTTCTGTGTGGAGTTTGCATGTTCTCCCCATGCTCACATGGGTTTCCCCCGGTTTCCTCCCACAGTCCAAAAACATGCAATATAAGTAATTTGACCATACCAAATTGGCACTATAGACAAGCTATTAGTAATCAGTATTGACCTTATTCTAAAATGCGGAAGTGCGCCTGTTTTCGCGATTGTCTTAGAACTTCCGATTCAGTCGCCTATGGGAGAAATGACTAGGAATAATAAACGGCAGAAAACGGTCAAACTACTTGCTCTACAAACAAATGTTTGCATGACTATACAGACCAAGTAGAATAATATAATAAGAAAAAATCAAATTGCAACATCAAGCAGCGTAATGAATAGTTTTTAACGCCAAAAAATGAATGGAAGTGAATGAGAACGGAAGTCTCAAGCCAAAAAGATTCAAATGGCAGCGCCCGCTCGTCGGCGGAGAATAAGGTGAATAGCTATGCCTAAAATCTGTCATTAGCCATTAACAAGTCTGGGAAGTTCATCGAGATCTACCTTAACTCAAAACTTCCCTCTCATCCTGCTAACAGGAGGGAGCCCAGGGCTTTCCCTAGGGAAAGCATGCCAAACTAGCTTTATTATCAATCATCAGCTAAGTGTGAATTCATGAAAAACCCTTCCGTGTTGACCACCCATGTTTTCACAAGGAGTTCTGAGAAATTGTTGCCTTTAGATTTTGCGTTATACTCTCTCCATTCAATAAACACTGATTAATAGGCTAATACCTTTTCCAACTCATGTTTGCGGGGGTTAAGATGTTTATTGATTGTGTTCCAGGGTGGCACAGTTATTGGGAGCGCACGATGCAAAGATTTCCGCACTCATGAGGGTCGCCTGAAGGCTGCTCATAATCTCATACAGAGAGGCATCACCAACTTGTGTGTTATTGGTGGAGACGGCAGCTTGACCGGGGCCAATCTCTTCAGAGAAGAGTGGAGCGGCCTGCTGGCAGAGCTGGTCCAGCAAGGTATGAGCTGCAGATTATTCAGTGCACATAAACGTTTGTTGATTAAACATATTTTTTAAAGAGTTTTATTTGAATTGTGAAAATGTTAAGCAGTAACTGGGTAGTTGACAAACAGGCAGTAAATAATGATGTTGTTGTTGAGAATTTTGATGATGGTGCCATTTACAGTGATTAGGTTCCCTGGTAAGAACATTAGGTGCACACCACCATGTTTGACAGTGGGGATAACCCATCCAGGTGTACACAGAGTGGTAAACACACACACACCCTGAGCAGTGAGAAGCCATTGCTGCAATGCCTGTGGAGCAGTTTGGGGATAGGTGCCTTGCTCAAGTGACTCACTTCAGCCGTGGTATTAAGGTTGGTGAGAGCACTGGTTATCTACTCTTATCACCAACAATCTCTGCTGGAGCCAAGACTTGAACCTGCGATCTTCCGATCACAAGTTCAACTTTCTAACTATTAGGTCAAGGCTGCCCCCATGGATAGTGTTCTTAGAGTTGGACTATCTGTATCTACCTGAAGATGTTGCTACCAGCAGAGCCCAGATTCATCCGGATGGCCTTGGTGTTGATCCTTGGCTTTTATACCTCTCTCACTATCCTTCTGGCCAGTACAGTTGTCAATTTTGGCTTCCAACCACATCTGTTGGATTTGTTCACAGTACAGAAAGTTGTGTATTTTTTAAATAATACATTGCACTTTAGCCAATGGAACTTCAAGACAATAAGATATTATTTGAATTGTGAGCAATTGCAGGTCCTCACTGAGCTCTTAGCCATGACTGTCCACAAACCAACAGCAGAGAGCTTCTGTTTTTCACCTGGTGAGTTGATTAACAGCTGTTCACAATGAACCAGGGTAATCAGGATGATTAAAAACAGCTTGGACTATTTGGAATGGTATAGAACAGAGTTGTCCAAACTGGAGTCCTGGAGGGTCAGTGTCTTGCAAAGTTTAGCTCCTACTTTCTTCAACGCTCCTGCCTGGAAATTTCTAGTTTACCTAAAAAGAGCTTGATTAGCTGGTTCAGGTGTGTCTAATTGTGGTTGGAACTAAACTCTGCAGGACACTGGCCCTCCAGGATCGAGTTTGGGCACCCCTATACTAGAACTTTGAATTTTCCCAGAGACTAGCTGCGTCCCAAATGGCACACTATACACTTGCGCACTATGTACTTATGCACTTACACACTCGACAGCATAGTATATAAATGTAGTGTCATCTCTAATGGAAGACTAAAGTTTTTTTTACTAACCAGAAATTCAAATCGTTTCTCAGATGACATTTGACGGTTGACAAACTAGTGAAATAAATGACCAAACTACCAAATAATACCTGCCATGAGTATAACGGCATTCACCGTCGGGAGCGGTATAATCACTCTTGTAGAATTTTGCTCTCACAGTTCAATCTAAATTAAGCAATCCAACATCAGTGCCAGAAAGCTCAGCCCATAAGCAAAACTGCGGCCGTTGAGTGCGTAAAGTGTCCAACGCTCCAGTTTTTTTGTGTGTTGTAGGTCTAATTGATGAAGACGCGGCTCAGAAGTACTCTGCTCTTCACATTGTGGGAATGGTGGGCTCCATTGACAATGACTTCTGTGGCACGGACATGACGATAGGAACAGACTCAGCCTTGCACAGAATCATTGAGGTGGTGGATGCAATCATGACAACAGCTCAGAGGTACATCAGCTGTCTAAAATTCACGTTACATAATCCAGATTGCATAATCTGCATGTTTCTTGCGAAAGAAAATGCTGATGTTTTTTAATGTTACAGTCACCAGAGGACATTCGTTCTGGAGGTGATGGGCAGGCATTGTGGGTAAGATAAGGTTATGTCATTACCAGCTATTTTGGTTCATTTAAAAAAATATATTGATGGCATGTTTTCTGCACTGCATTAATCTGTATGTATAAAGCTATCTGGCATTGGTGAGTGCCCTGGCATGTGGAGCTGACTGGGTGTTGATTCCCGAAATGCCCCCTGAGGATGGCTGGGAAGAGAAAATGTGTCAGAAACTCTCCGCGGTAAAACAAAAATACTCCACCTCACCCTCAATGCATCACATCAGATATACCTGCAATATATAAATCCTCATGTTTATATTAAATTATAGTGTTTTCTTCACCTTAAAAATTGTCTGAACCATTAAGTAATCTTGTGGTTGTGCAAAGCATTGGGAAAGTGAACCTGAAAGTCCATCTTGACAAGCTACAAGATATTATTTAAGTTACATTATCTACAGTTAAGCTTCAATTTTGATAAAGTAGAACATTATCTGATTATTACTGTCCATGGTTATTTGGTAGAGACACCATGGAAAAGTGTGATTGATTGATTGATTGATTGATTAGTTGGTTGGTTGATTGATTAATTGTGGCCTTTTTAGCACCTTTGTAAAGAAATGTAAAAGCATCACTACATTAGTTGCACATATTGATATATTATAAAAGGTATGTATCCCACAGATGTCCTAAAATGTTATTATCTATGTGTGCATGCTCATCTGTCTGTAACTTGCTTATGTGTTTGTGGAACAAATGTGCCCGCTGCCTCAGACTCGATCCAGAGGTTCAAGGTTGAACATAATCATAGTCGCTGAAGGAGCCATTGACAGACATGGAAAAGCAATTACTTCTAGTATAGTCAAGGATGTGAGTACTAAATGTTTTTAAAGGGAGAGAGCAAAAATCTGGAGTTCTACCAAAAACGTGTGGCCCATCTTGAATAAAATTCTAAATAAACATACATTGTTTGCCATATGCCACACATTGTACAAAGGCTTTCATTCTGACAGCAATATGCAACAGATCTTTCTTTTTTTTTTTAAATAAGAGTTGCCAATTCGAGGCATTGTAATCCTTGGTAAAGAGAATATGTTTAGGAGTCTTGCTGGCTTTGAGCAAAAAGGTACAAATACTTTAGCAGTGTATCAATATTGGTGTGTTAACCTTAGACCCTTCACCACCAAAAAAACATTTGTGGAACATTAAAACGATATAACAACTTGGTGTTTTAGCAACTTAAAAACCTCAATCAACTTGGGCTCGACTTGGAGACATTTACTAAGTTTACTGCAATTTAAAAACGTTACTAAAAAAATGACTTTGTGACCTAGACTGACAAAACCACGACTTTCTAAATAGTAGACTTCAACAATAACGTTAAACAACAGAAGTACCAGTACAGAAACGTAGTGACTATGATTAGCAGTACACATCAGCTTTCTGACGAACAGACTTTACAACTTCATCAACAACCTTTGAGAACCTTATATACAATATACCAGGATGCAATATACAACTTAAAAAGCTTGAACGACAATTAATTGGTCAAACTACTAAGTAAAATTAGATAATTACATATAGGGTTGTCAAAAGTATCGAGTTTGGTACCAATTTCAATACTTAAAAACTGTAGATTGGCCATTGTCTGAACATGCTTAATAGACTGTGATTGGCTTTGAAGGTCATTGGTTCACCACAATTCATCGCTGATCACTAAGTACACTCAATTGTTAGCAGAAAATGGACATTTTTTAAATTCTAGTACCGACTGGTACCGCACTTGATACTTTTGACATTCTAACCCCAACCCTAATTACATAAACTTACTTCATGGATAGGTTTAGAATGCAGGTTAAGTTTAGTTGCATGTAATTACAAATAACTAATTGTAATTCCATTAGCAAGTACACAGAACATGCGGTACAAGGACACAAAATATAGCATTACCTTTCAATCGTGAACAAGAGTACAGTAGCACATTGTGCTTTACGGCAACTTGGCCAAAAATATGGCGACTTGGTGACCATGAATAACAATACAGCAACATTCTGAACAGCACGTAGACCTCAACAACAACAACAACAACACAACCATCTGAAGACCTTGAACAACAAAATAACAGCTTGGTGTCCTTGACCAATTGAACAGCCTTGTTCACTTGGTGACCTTACATAACAGTGACAGTATGGCTAATTTGACACCTTGGCCAGGAATATTCAGATGACAACATGGAGACTGAAATTGCATCAGCTTTGCACTGTTGATCAAAGTATAATGACTTGCTGATCATAGTCAATGCGTCTCTTTGTCCAATAATGTTGTCATTTCATTGGTATTGACCAACATGTCAGCTCTTGTGATCTTTTAAAAGCAATATGTTCACTCGTAGACCAACAGAATGGAAATGCCAACCATTACCAAAAGTATAGTAGCTTGATGACTGTTTAATGCACATGTTCAACCTCCTGACCAAAACGGTATTGATTTTAAGATATCAAGAATGGAATATGGACACACTATATGGACAACCCTTTGAAAATATTGACCAGCTGTCTTGACCAACATTATACTCAGTATAGAAACATTCTGACCAACAGTACAGTGACTTTAACCACCAACAACCGCACAGGGATATTGAACAACAACAATATAGGAAATTGTAAACATTGGCAAATATTACAACATCTCATCAACACTGACCCAAACATAATACTACAAAAAGGCATAATAACAAATGCTATAAGCTACTTTAACTTACTTTAATGAGTAGATTAAGCTAACTGATTTTAGTTATACAAAGTTTAACTTAATTGTTTAGGTCAACTTGATTGACCCAAGATAAGATGACTAAAAAAACATACAGCAAGAATGCTTTACAGTGTAGTCTTCATGGGTCACTTTACAACAACTTGCTGACTAGAAGTATAACAACAGCCACGTTTGGACAACTAACTTGACTTATATATCTCGACCAATGGCAGACCAGAACCAGTAGTGTCCCATATATTATTATATATAGCAGTAAAGTCCCTCTAGTGCAAATTGCCATGTTCATTACACTGTAAAATCTATTGACAAAAAGTCAAGACAACACATTTTATGTTGCTTTAACTTACTTTAAAAAAGTTAATCAGGCTTCAACTAATTCTATTAGGTTATACAAAGTCTGACTAAATGTTTTTGGTCAGTTTGATTGATTTAAGTTTACAGTGGATGACTAGAATTGGTCATTTGATTCAATTAAAACAGTGAAGTCAGCAAGACTTTTTTAGTGTTTAGCTGCTGTGAGGCTTTCTGGGGCTATGAACACATATTGCTTGTCAGGAATATTCGCTCAAACTGTTTCATTCTGCCACAGTTTATTAGATAAAGATGTGCTGATGTTAAAAGTCGGTCTTGAATACCATCAGTAGAGCCATTTTTGACCTTAATCAACAATCACACTCATTGGTGACTTCAACCAAAACACAGAAACATGGAAACAAGTGGATTGCTGTCAGTGAAAATGAAGCTTAAAGGGATAGGTCCCCCAAAACTGATCATTATGTCATTATTAATTCACCCTTGACTTGTTCTAAATCTGACTTTCTGTCTGCTGTTAAAACCAAAAAAAAAAAAAAAAGATATTTTGAAGAAAGCTGTAAACCTGTAACTTTTCATCCTTTTCCGAATGGTTACCTGCTCTCAGATTTCTTCAAAATATCCTCTTTTGTGTTCACCAGCATTAAGAAACTCTTTGGAACCAATTGAGGCTGAGTAAATACTAATTAGAGTGCAAATGTTCATTTTTTAGTGGACCTTTCTCTTCAACTTGTGGTATAGAGATCTGGGTGAGTAATCGCTCTTTACTTCCTTCCTGGGCTACTTCTGCATCTTGAGCTCCAGCTTTTTGAGTCTCTCCCACTGTTTTTGTCCTTGTTTGTGACGTGTCTTTTACCCTCGTAGAAACGCGCAGGAATGAAAAGGCTGAATATCATTATAGTAGCTGAAGGTGCGATTGATCGTAAGAACCAGCCCATTACCTCTGAACATGTAAAGAATGTAAGTACATGAGGTACAGCAGATCCGGCTCCTGCATTGACCCCTGACCTCTCTGAGCTCTGTTTGCCCTCCTTCTCTGGCTTTGTCCTGTGTGGTTTGCCTAAATACACACACCACAATATACGCACACATACTTTCTGGGAAGGCACTTTCTGTCACCTCTGAGCATAACCAACTATGGCTATCAAATACACTTCATTAAACATGAACACATAGACATCACGTACTGTATCTACTATATCACGGCAGGTTAACAATATGTATATACAATAAAAGCTTTTAATTACTAGTTAATTAGTTGAAGTTATTAGTAACTAATAACCATAACTTTTCCGAATTTGATTGTAACTCAATAATGCGCATCTTTTGTAAAGCTGCTTTGAAACAATAATTATTGTGAAAAGAGCGACATAAATAAAACTTCAATATACTTATATCTTAATTACAGCTTCAGTTCATAGTGACATGAATGCACAATTGTCTGTATTTTACAGTCCAGTTTCGTGTGTTTTTCCCAGAAAACTTTATATTACAAAGTAAATTAATTTAACATCACTATTAGTGTTGCTCATACTTAGCTTAAAACATCTAACCAATTTTTAAACTTCATTTTATATCTTGTCATACTATTTTTTTTAACTCATATAAATAATATATCAGACAGGCACTTAAAGCTGCAGATAAACAAGGAACTACACGATATCATGGAGATACCGAATCAATCTGCTATAATCAAGCCTTATATAAGGCAAAATGTCATCAAATAAAGAAAACTGTCTGGAGAATATGAAGAAATTAATAGTTTTAGTCTGCATGTTCAGATTGATTGCAACATAGGCTCACTGTGAAAACGTAGCCCTATACATTATGTAGCCAGAGCTACCTATCGCTGGATTTCGTTTTTAAAATGAATGCTACGGGGCGGTATGACGGCTCAGACGGCTTCTGTTTCTTTTCGTGCTACCAGCTGAAGGCTTTTTAGCTGTTACCAGTTTTCCCAGTAGCTCGCTGTGTACGTGGGTGGGCGCTGGTCTGTGGGTGCTTTTAAAAACACTATCGGTTGGGTTTCGGTAAGGGGTGGGTTTGTCAATCGTTGCTTTTGAAAACACTATCGGTTGGGTTTAGGGAAGGAGGTATTGGTCGGTCAGTCTGTCAACAGTGGCCTTTGGTGGATTTACACAAGAAGAGCAGGCATGAATGGCACTCTTGAGAGAAATTTGAGATCTATAAGTGCGTAAACAACAGCCTCTATCGATTCGCAAAAGCAAAAAAAAAAAAAAAAAGCTCCTAAGACGTATTTGGCGCTGTTTAGAAATGTATGCAGGGGTGTGTATCCATAATGAGCCTTGGTTGGTTTAGTCAGAGTGACCCCACTAAACAGACAGGATATACAGACTTTGTGTGTGCTCATTCATTCCTGTCTATTTGATTAAGTTATTTTTTTATACAAATTTTTTGTAATTTATTAGGTTTTGACTAAAAACCCAATTTTTTTGCCAAGACGTCTATGTTTTGAACTCTTTTAGATGTCTTCTAAACACACACGTACACACACACGGCCACACACAAATGCTTGCTGGGAATGGATGTACATTTCCTCACCCTGAAAAGACGGTCCTGCAGGAGTTGAATTCATTTCAGCGTTTAGCACAATCTCTAACATGTACTAAAATGGGCTCTTCTTTACTGACTGGCATGGAATGCTATTCTACTTCCACCAATTGTTGCTAAGTTTCTTATTTTCTGCATGGGCGGCACAGCTTTCTTGTGAAACTTTCTGCTAAACGCACGCAGGTATTATTATATTCAAGCCTTCCTTCTTTGTACTAAGGTTATTTTTTTATGTCCATTGTTTAAAAATGTAATTCAGCAAGATATAAGAACATATAAGGGACAGATGAACATTCTGCCATCATTTACAGTCATAACAATCTCGTACGTCTTTTTTATTAAAGTAAAACACCAAAGAAGATGCTTTGTAGAATGTTAATGCTGCTCTTTTAAATATAATTAAAATGCATGGCGACCAAATAAAAAAATAGTGACTAAAAATAAAAAGACTGGCGGCCTACACTACATTTACAGGTAAAAGCATACAACGGGTTTCTATAGGGAACCCAATTCAAGAATCTTTGTTCGACCGATTCAGTCACAGCTGAATTCATTGTGTGAAGTAAATGGTGACAGAATTTTCAGTTTGAAGTTCATTTAGATTGATAAATGTTATAAGATTGGGGCTTTTCACAATTGAGAGTTAACTCAGGGTCATTCGAAACCTCAGGTAAATAGAACCCACCAAGCAATTTTGTGTTTAGACGTTATAGACATCTGAATGTAGATTGTTGGCTAAAGCAAGACTAAATTTAGGCTGTCAGTGAACATCTAATAGATATCTAGAAATAGATCAAAATATCCAATTAGTTAAACTTCCCATATGTAGTCGTTCATTTTTTGTATTTGATGACTAGTCTAGTTTTGGGCTTTTTTTTGATGTCTATAAGATGTTCACTGACAGCTCAAATTTAGCCTTGTCTTAACAAAGCCGTCTATGTTTAGACATCTGTTAGACATCTATTAGGCTTATATTAAAAACAAAAAAACACTTGCTGGGAAGCCTGTGTCGTCTTGCTCATCTGTCACACTGTCTGTAATTTAAACAGATTATTAATCCTGCATAATCATATTTTTTCACACTGCATATTCCAGAATCATAGGTTAACTATTGCTGTGTCACTTATTAAACATATGCATGACTTCAATTTATATACATATTTGTTTTTCTTAAAAAAAAAATAGAATGTTTTCTTAAATTATGCACTGTGCCATAAATTAGAACCGTCTCTTCTGTCTCTTGGGCCACTATTTGAGATGTCTGCCCCTAAATTCTAAAACAACAGTGTATATGCAACACACAATGTTTCTGTGACTGTCCAGAGCACACGCATAGATTAACACTGCAATATTTTGCGCTGCACATGTTTACCACTGTAGTCAGGGATTAAAATGGTGCCTGCAGGGTCTTAAAAAGTTTTACATTTCCAAAGCAAACTTTTAGGATTTAAAAAGTCTTAAATTCACTTAATTAATGCAGGTCCTAAATCACATTAAACAGGTCTTAAATTTCCTATGTCCAAGTAAAGCTACCCAATCAAGCCGAGATCCATCTAGTCACCAACAATACATCTTTAAAAAACTTTTTAAAAGGTTCTCCTAATTATAATCCATTTAGACGATCTTTACAGAAATAAGGGGGACTGGACAGAATCCTTATAAATAGACATGAATCTTAACGTTTTATAACAGATACACATTAGGTTAAAGAGGAGTTATACTTAAGCCAACAAATTCTGTATATATTTTTGATTCTTTATGTAATTTTCTCTGTAATAAATATAAATATAAATGTTCTTTTATACAGTTTAGAATAATAATAATAATAATTCCTTACATTTATATAACACTTTATATAAAGAATAACCTAAACCTAGAGTTAAGCTCAGTTTGAAAAGCCCTTTCTTTTTTTTTCTTTTTTTAATGTGAAAATGTGGAAAACCAATGCTTTATTCAGACCAGATTGTCATCTTGCATGATGGATAAGAAGTTATGTTGACAAAATATGACCTAAAACCTCTAAATTCCCTTGATTCCTGTAATTCAACTGCAAATCTTCTTTGTGACCCCTCCAGCTGGTGGTCAGTCGTCTGGGCTTCGACACGCGCGTGACCATCCTGGGCCACGTCCAGAGAGGAGGAACCCCTTCAGCATTTGACAGGATTCTGGTGAGAAACTCTCCAGGAAATAAACAGGAGGGTTGGGGAAGCTTACATTAAGTACGTAAACAGATTTGACGTCCACACACACGCTGCACGTGCTCTGCTGCTTCAACAGTAATGAAGCAGCACTACATAAAGGCTCAACGTCACTCTGGGAAACTGAACAGAAGAAGTGCAGCATTTTTATAAAGTGCTCTTCTGGGAGTACTCCATTTATTTTTAGTCAATGTTGATCAAAACAAACACAAACTACAATAAATAAATAAAATATATAGTAAAATATTAATGATAAAAAAATAGAAAATTACAAAGTCAAAATGTCTGTAATTGTGTATATTCCCCCATTAATAATATTAAAAATATATACATATATATTACTCTATAGCAGGGTTGGATGCCTAAACAAGAGTTTACCTCTAACCCCAATCAGATACACCTGAGCCAGGTAATCAAGCTCTTATTGGGCTTGCTAGAAACATCCTGGCAGGTGTGTTGAGGCAGGTTGGAGCTAAACTCTGCAGGACATCAGCCCTCCTGGACCGAGTTTGGGCACCCCTGCTCTATATACATATCACAGACAGGCAAAATTGTTTCTTCTTAAATTAAGTTTAAAGCAGAAATATAAAACATGGAATACAGAACTATTTCTATACATAAAGTAAGTCATTTTACTTTAAATCTAATTATGGTGCACTGAAGACTGTAATGCTCATCTGTGTTTGTTGTCAGGCCAGTCGTATGGGTGTGGAGGCAGTTCTGGCTCTGCTTGAGACCACAGCAAACACACCGGCCTGCGTGGTGTCGCTATGTGGGAACCAGTCTGTGCGGCTGCCCCTCATGGAGTGTGTGCAGATGGTAAGACTTGGACAGATTCCAGCACGGGTTTAGTGCAGTAATATTAAAGGTCCACACTCACACACTCAACACAGCGTTACTGCTGCGCTTATAGATGATTACTGCAAGCCCCGCCCCCACTGAATGTTTAGTTTTAATTGGAAGTCAACATACTGAAAACGTCTCAGGCACATTTGGTTCAAGCAGACTTCAACTTGATTTGAAAAAGTCAATATATTGTGTTTCTATCTCGCAGTATTTTTCAGAATAGCCAGAACTAATGACTAATGTCAACTCAGAGCTGAAAAAGCCAAAATTAATTTTCTCATAGCAGAAATAGGCTTTCAGAGCAATATGCATTGTTTGCAAGAGATCATTTCAAACCAACAGACTATATGTGATATATTGTTTGTTTTGTAGACGCAAGAAGTGCAGAAGGCCATGGATGGGAAACGGTTTGAAGAGGCCGTGCAGCTGCGTGGCCGGTGCGTTTACTTTTTGTAGACTTCAGTTTAACTTCTTGTTCATTCAGATATTACCTTCCATGTAGTCTGGAATACACCTGAGGTTGGTGTTAAAAGTAACAACAGCAGCGTAGCAGATCTATTTCACCAAGACCAAACCATCCACATTGTCACATACATATTCATTACTATATTGAATCTCCCCGAGTGTTGTCATGGCAGAAATTGAGTTATTGTCTGCCTAAAAATACTAGTGATTCTGAACTGCCTGAATTAGTTGTGAGTAATTACTCTCTTCTTCCACAAACCTAAGCAGATTTGTAACAAATCTGTCAATCTATGGTGTTTATTTGCTGCCCTCAGATGTCTATGTTTCCTTACTGAAATCATATACATGCATGGCCATAAATGAATAGATTTGAACATAAATATGTGCATATTTCTTATTTATATGTAAAAATATGTAAACATCCATATAAATGTGATATATATTGCATATATGTATACATTCGATATATGTGAAACCCAAACATAAGGCCACTGTTTTCTTTAATGTAAAAAATTCATCTAAAACTGTGCCACTAGATATGCCAAGATGCGCATACATTTTAAAAATGTGCATAAAAAACTTTTGCACAACTTAGTAGGATAAACTTTTTATCCAATAAATTTTTTTTTGTAAAAACAACAATGGAAAAACTTAAAACTACTAAATAAAATCCAGTATGCGCATCAAAAAAGTCATGTCATTTAGTTTGAAGAGATCATGTGATAATAAAATAGATGCGACAGGACCTTTAAAATAGCATAATAAGGGAAGTTTAATCAAAATGACATATATAACACGTCTTTCTTATTAATCTCTTACATGTTTGTTTGTAAATGCAGGAGCTTTGAGAACAACCTGAAGACGTACAAGCTGCTGGCTCACCGCAAACCAGAGTCCGAGCTTCCGCATGTGAGTGTTTCATCCTGAAAGCCAGTCTGTGTTTGTTTTAACCTGCTAATCCTTCACTCTATCTCAACCAAACAATCCTCTGTTGACTGTCATCAGCCTGCTGCTGCACCATTCACAACACCTCAGTACATGCTCTGAGACGCCATTCCAGACATAGCAGCTGTTTCCAGAGGAAACCGAGGATATACACACCCTGCGTGCATATTCCTGCTAGTGGAGAGTTATTTTTAGCTCTATAGGCAATATGCATGGCAAGTGTTTTTCAGCCACTGATACACTTCCGGTGGAAAGTTGATGCAACTGTTTTGCATTTCATTAGGTTTGATCAACATCATTGATAATTTAATTGAATAAAAATATAGTCCATAAATAGACTTAAGCATTCATTGAGTTGTTCAAGTTCAAACGCAAGCCCCGCCAGGATCAGAAAACTCCATTGAAGATACTGCTGAAAAATTAATTTCCATATTTTAAAGACATGATGCAGAACAATTGAATTTAATGCAGTGCTTCTTTTCTGGTGAGAAATCTACTTTATATCTGATTATTGATTTTAAACAAACCAGATCTCAGATGTGGTGAGCTTATAAGAGCCTGACAGTTCCCCGGAAGTGCCAAGCTTCCGTCCCTCTTTAGCTAGGATCATCTCAATGTCACACTCTCTTAAAAACGATCCATATTACACACTTTTGCAGCAGTTTGTTTTAGTAGTGATTTTAGGCTTCTGTTTTTTTTTTTTTTCAAATATCATGATTTTTGACATTTCGAAGCATTTATAATCAGTTCAAAAACACGTAGTATATCTTTTGTTATTAACTACATAATGAGAAAGAAGCCTTTAATGGGGTAGAACATTTACATGTTTGCTCACCTGAGTTTAAAGGGAATTAGCCATTTCTCCTCAACGTTGATAATAAACTAATTTCTTTCTGTATGAAACGTCAAACAGACACGGTTGCTCCTGAGTCCTGTTAAACCTCCACTAGTTTTTCCTCCATTTCGTGGGTCCAAATAAACCGAAAAAGAGCGCTTTTAACTTCTCCCCCAGCCTCCCGCTGGCCTGCAGCAGGTATACACACACGCACACGCTAGTGAAAGCTGCTCTCTCATTGGCTGTAGGCGATCGCTGATGTTATTTTCAGTCAAAACTTAATTCACACGGCATGATTTGAATTGCCGACTGCTCCAGATATTCAGCACGCCAAATATCTCGCAGGCATCGGCGACTCAACGGCGATTCTCTCAGATCGCGTCTTTAAAAGTTCATACTGTGTTATTGTCACTCACGTGCACGAGCAGCGATTTGCCCTGTGATTTCAGGCATTTGTCGGCGATTTCTCAAAACCTGTCGGCGAGCCAAAATCGGGGCTAAAATCACGCAGTCTGAACTAGGCATAACGGCAACGATAATTTGATAGTTGACCACCAGCAGATTGTTTTGCTACATTACCTTTAATGCTTCTTTATTTAAATAACCTCTTTTATGATTGGGTACCCTTCCCACAACTTCACCCTGTTGTTAAACAGCTGCTGACTTTGAAGTGTAAATCCATTCACTGATGTGCAAACAAGGGTCACGTGCTGACAAACTAATGTTAGCAATGTCAACTCTGGTGTTTTTGTGTTGGATGCAAGCAGTTTCTGCAGCTTAAATTCCATAAACATAGTGGTTCAGTAATAAAACAAAACAAATCGTGAATCATGGAAGAAATTAAATCATCTTTGGGTTTACAGTTTTAATTAGTAATGAATATGGAGTTTACATTATTGTTGTAGTGATTATTGTTATTATTAGTTACAGGGTTGGTATGAGTGCTGGACATTTGCTGGACATACTTAAAATATAATTGTGTTGCTTTTCATATAGTTTCATTGCTTTAAAATGGAAAATTGTTGAAAATAGCTTAACTTTTTGAAAGAGATGCTAATGGTCTAATCTGATTCTATGATTCATGCTAAGCTAAGCTAAATGTGCTCCCACCAGACCCAGAGATCGACTAATGAGATTTAAAAATGGTAAAACTCAACCATTTAACTTTAGAAGAGTTGTAAAATGAGCCTTTTCCCAAAAAAATAATGGGGTTTTCTTTTAATGTTTGTTTTGTCTCTAGTGAACCGTCTAGTGGTTAGTGCTGATACAAGCATTTAAGTATTGTATTTTAATTTTTGCCTATTTTTAAATCTTTATTTCGACCCAAAAACAGTGAATTCTTGAATAGAAAAGCTGATTTATCACAGTAAAGTCAAAAGGCTTTTTGTCAAGAAGAGCTTAGTTGATAATAATTTTGTGATGCTCTGAGCTGTGTGCTCTGAGTTGCATTACCCTGCAACAACTGATAAATACCAAAGGTAGTAGTCAATAAATGAGCATGGACTGTTTTGCTTGCTCTATATGTCAAGCCACACATACTGAGCAGGATTTATGATAATCCAGAATGAAGCTTGCAGGATTCATTATAGACAACTCGACGTAACTCAATAATACAGCTGAAGTCTCATGCTGGCTCAAACGATTAGTTGGATTAGGAAGAATGACCCAAATGTAATTTATTGACATGTTTGTGTTCATCTCTCTTTCAGAGTAATTTTAACGTGGCTGTGTTGAATGTGGGTGCTCCAGCGGCGGGTATGAACGCAGCCGTTCGCTCTGCTGTCAGAGTTGGCATCTCCGAGGGACATAAAATGTTCGCTGTCAACGACGGCTTTGAAGGATTTTATAAGGGACAGGTAAATATTTACATCTATATTTCAGGGTTTGTGAACCATAGCTGGTTTTGAAAGTACACCCCCACAAATCTCTCATTTAAATTAATATTTTCTATACAATGCTAATCTGACTAAATAGCTTACAATAATGGTTAAAAATTAGTAGCCCAAATTTATGTTAGGAAAAAAATATTTCAATATTAAATAATTTCATAATTATAACAGTCATTTTACAGAAATAAAATTTACACAGTATTATACTGCTCATGGTTATGCTGGATATAAATGTTCTAGCTTCAAAATGTTGATTATTTCATTTTTATATGTGCATATGATCAGAATTTGCTGTAGTTTCCAGTGGAAATGTTGTGTATCGCATGTCAAAGATAAATGGCAATATTATGCTACACACACACAAAAAAGTGTTCACATATTTAAGGCCGCACAGACAAACAAATCAACACAAACACTTGACTGTAAAAGCAGCAGCCTCTATGCTTTGGCAATTGAATACTGCACTTTTAAAAGTCCTGTAAAATTAAAATATAAAAATGAGATGTTAGCTTTAGTCTGTTATTTTTAGGGATATTTACCAGCTAGCGTGCTCCAAAAGAGTGACAAAATTCACATTTAGAAAATCTAAACCTTATATAAACATCCAAAGCTTGCAGTTTGTCACTTCAGCCTAAATCGATCAACGTTTTTTCCACGTCAGCTCATATTTTAGTTTCTCATCAAATCTTGACCAATCCAATGCTCTCTAGTATCTGACCCCATCTGGTTTTCATTTGATGTGCTTGAGCTCAACCACTCTCACTGGCAGAGCTATAATAAAAAACAAACGCTGTTGGCTGTCTATTTAAAAGGTGGGGAGCTACTCTATGTCCCACCCTTTCTTTATTTTTTATTTGAGATTACATCAAACATCAAATAAAAAAAAATGCACATTTCAATGCACTTTACAAGACCTTTAAATAACACTCTCAAATCCAATTGTGATAATTGTATTTCTACAGTAATTGCATTAGGAGCGAGAAGCATTCAACAGGTTAACTTGTTTAACTCAAGTTGGTATTGAAAACAGCCAACAAGGAGCATCAGCACCTCTGTCTCTAAAACTGCTGCTCTTTGCTCTTATGCAAAGCACGATAGGATTAACTTAAACCAATTGAACAGTGAAGTACCACTATGTACTAATAGGGGGCAGTGTGTAAAACATATTAGCCGTGTGTCGAGAGTGGATGGAGGAATCAAGATAAACACTAAGCAATTAATTAGATTACATGGGCTTGGCCTAAGAATGTATGATCCACAAATTATCTTGTTGATTAAACGGAGGGAGGATTACAGACTCCGAGCAGTGTGTCATTAAAACAGTGTGCGTTCTAATTATTAGCAACTGTTTGTAATAAATTCAGACTTTCTGCAAACATTGAACGACTGTTATTTTTGGCTAAGAGTGTCTCATGCATGGCTGAGATTTCTGTCATGATCTCCCGAGCCAGTCTAATCCAATAAACCAGGCAAGTCAGAAAAGCACATGAGCGGTAATCAAATTGAGTCCATTTGCATTTCCAGTTAAAATGAAGACAAAAACAGCAAAATGGAGGCTATTTCCATGACACTTTGTTTTGTTTCAAATGCATCGTTGTAATCCCAAAATGCAAGATAAGGAAACTTAAGATTAAACTTGTTTTCTGTATTTTTGAGTGAGTACTGAAGAAAAAGTTTAACTAAATGTAAAATAAATAAACTAAACTTTAAATGAAAATAGCTTTTTTCAGATTAACTTCCATTTCAGTGCAAATGTAGTTTAAATGTTTATTACATGCAACATAGGGCTGCTAATAGTTTGCAAATAAAATTGAAATATGGCAAATGATAGTACAGTTGTGTGAAAAAGTGTTGCCCCCCTACTGATGCATGTTTGTCACAATTTAATGCTTCAGATCCTCAAACAAATGTAAATATTTGTCAAATAATATAATAATATAGTATAAGTCATTGTTAAACCTAAAACTGTATAGCCCTGTGTGAAAAAAGTGACTCAATTAAGGTGAGTGTTTATGGCTCCATCATAAGAAAGAGGCCAGTTTTAAGTTCCAGTTTGCAGTTGTAGGACAAAAACCACAGCTGAGCAAAAATAAATAAATAAATAAATAAATAATAAAATAAAATAAAGGCTAGTAACAGTTTTGCCAGAAAACATCTTGATTATCCCTAAGACTTTTGGGGAAAAATCTAGAGACAGACAAGGCAAAAGTTTAATATTTTGAAAGGTGTGTGTCCCATTATGTAAAAGTAACACCGCATTTTATAAAAAGAACATCATACGGACAGTAAAATGTGGTGGATGTAGTGTAATGGTTTTGCTGCACTGTGATAAATGAAACGGTGAATTTTGCTGTGTACCAAAATATCCCAAAAGAGAATATCCGTCCATCTGTTAGTGACCTCAAATTAAAGCAAACTAGGGTTTTGCGACAAGACAATGATACAAAGCACACCAGCAAGTCCACTTCTGGATGGCTGAAGAAAAACTAAATTAATGTAGGAGTGGCCTACTCAAAGTCCTGACCTGAATCTAATTGAGATGCTGTGGCATGACCGTAAATAGGTGGTAAATGCTTGAAAATGCTCCAAGGTGGTTGTTATACAACAATTCTGCAAAGATGAGTTGGCCAAAATTCTTTATAGGAAAAGCTTTGGGCAAGCCTGCTTTTAAACATCTAATGCCTAGTGAAAGTGGTGACTTGTGTATTTTAATATATTTGTAGTCACACAATTGTAAAAATAAACTTTAAATAAATAAAAAGTTGATATGTGTTTTATGTTAGTCACTTCTCTGTGAAGTACATTAGATTAAAGAATAATTATGTTCAATAAAACATGAATATCATGGTCAGCTTTAACTTTTATTTTCACAAACTCTTTCCAGATTTGTGCATTTCATAATGCTGTTATCATGTAAATTAATACAAAAAGGTTGTCAGATGCTGCTAGTATGAATAAATAGTAAAGTTACTCAGTTAGATTTTGAAGTTTTAATGTATCCTCATAAGAATATTATCCCTCCAATAAATGTCTAACCCCTTCTATTCTACTTTCTCAGATAAAAGAGATTAAGTGGGCTGATGTAGGTGGATGGACAGGCCAGGGTGGATCCCTGCTGGGAACTAAACGGTATTTATCTCCTACAAACTCCATTTAAATTGTAACATTTTGATTGTATTGTATGACTTTCAGCAGTCGTAATGAATTTGAGTGTATTTGGCTGTGTTGTGCTTAGTGCTTCTCTACAATGTTCTCATATTTGCAGAACGCTTCCTGCAAAGCACATTGACAAAATTGCTGAACAGATGCGGAAGTATAACATAAATGCACTTTTAGTGATCGGAGGATTTGAGGTATGCATTTGATTCTGGCTCTTATGTCATTGTTATTTTATCCGGTAATGCTCATGATGTTATAATACAGATTATTGTAACATGTTATCATTTTTTAAATGTATTTTTATATATTGTTAGATGAATCAATTGTTAATAAACTGTTATTGTTAATTATTGTTAAAACCATTAATATTACATTATTAACAATATAACCAATTACATATATTTTTATTTATCCATTTATTATCAGTAATATTATGATTTCTTTATTATATTATTATTATTAATATTATTATTATTAGTAGTATTATAATTTTTTATATTATTATTATTATTATTAGTAGTAGTAGTATAATTTCTTTTTATTATTATTATAATTATTGTTTTTAGCAGTAGTATTATAATTTACCACATACATAATAAATAACATTATTAAAATAAATAATAATAAAATAAAAATAAAATAAAAATATTATTAATAAATAATAATATTTAAATAATAATAAAACCACATAAATATTATATTATTAACAATAAAACCAATTGCATATATTTTTATTTATTATTGTTATTGTTATTTATGTGTGTCTTTATTTATATGATTATTATTGTTGTTAATATGATAATTTATGTGTATTTATTTATTTATTTAAATTAATAATATTGTTATTATTACTATTATTATTATTATTATTAATGCATGTATTTATTTATATTATTAATATTGTTAATGATATTATTTATGTGTGTATTTATTTGTATTATTATTATTTATTATCATATTTTTTATATATCATTTTCGTATTATTAGTAGTAGTATCATGATTTCTTATATATATATATATATATATATATATATATATATATATATATATATATATATATATATATATATACATTTTTATTTTTTATTTTTATTATTTATTCATTTCTTTAAATTAAACAAAATATAAATTAATTTACATGTTGATATTTGTCCATTTAGTATTGGAAAAAAAAACTTGCATATAAAATGTCCATGATGACGTTTCTTTAACTCGCCTGCCCTCTCCATCATCTTTTCCTATGCAGCATCACCTAAAAGTCCCTGCGTTCTTGTTCTTTTCATAATGAAAAAGGAGGCAATGATCACCTTCTTAGCAGGCACGGTTTAGTCTTTCAGCTGTGTGAACGCAATCACACAGCTGACAAGACAAAAAACGCCATTAAAGACAGAACAATATCCCTCAATCCCAAAACAGCTCACCCACTTTTTTCTAAAGCCATTTCATGCTGCCGAAATCAGGCTCACCTTCTCTCTTCCAAATACAGACATCATCAGGATCTGTGTGAATGTATTTCATGCAAGTGTTTGGATTTGAAGTGTGTGTGTGTGTGCGGAGTGGGTCTTCTGTCTCATGCTCTCCGTCGTGATGGCCATGGCTTTCCACACGGGTTCCTTCCCAATTTCTCGTCTCATCACTTTCTCTCTCATTCCCTGTCATTTCATCCCCCATTCCCATCCCTGCTGGCGGTTCACTAAATTCCTGGCTCCCTGCAGGCCTACTTGGGGATCATGGAGTTGTTAGAAGCCCGCAGGACTTATGAGGAGTTGTGTGTGCCAATGGTAATGGTGCCGGCCACCGTCTCCAACAATGTGCCCGGCTCAGACCTCAGCATTGGTGCAGACACGGCTCTTAACGCTATCACTGCTGTAAGTGAGGCTGAGGGAGTGTCCATCCAGCAGCCAATCACATCAGAGGCTCTGTCTTCCCCTTTACAAGCTGATCACAGAGGTCAATCATGTCACTTGTGTTTACCAGCCAATAGGGCTTCATGATATTGGACAAATCTCTGACATTGCGATGTTTTGTTTTGCTAAAAGTTCACCAGATGATCTGAATCTCTCTATTTGGAAAGATTTCATTAATTGCATCTGCATAAAATAGAATAAATTACAAGCATATATACATTTGACAGAGAGAGAATAAAGGTTATTTGTGGTTTTCTGGGAAGCCAAAATGTATTCAAGCACAGAAATTGAATAATCAAATGTAAAACGGCATGATCATTACTGTATACATCATTCTAAAATAATAATTAATTATATTGTTTAACTTTTGATGCTCAAGCGATATATATGTTAATGTTGAGTGGCCAGCAAGAGCGACGATTGGGTTGTTGCCTGATAAATGTAGCCATTTTGATATGAATCCATGCTGTTTGAAAGATTTCTTAATTTCAATATCTCAATAGAAGCTTTGAATGTACACATGAAGTGACAATATGACGCCTTGAAGATGAACTTGGTCAGAATGACCACTATGGCACTTCTGGCAGGTAAGCAATTCTGGCAGTTCCAGAGTTAAGAACAATCGTAAAAATGCAAGTGATGTTTTATGCATGCACAGATGTTTCAGCAATTCTAATACTGAGTGTGCCTCACAGGTGAGTGGGCTAGACAAACCACCTGTAGAAAACACTTTTTCATCTCTTTAACACTTAAACTGACACTTGACCCAGTTTTCCATATTTGCACTTGTCTTACAATCACTCAATATTTCTTAAAAAGTATTATGAAGTGTGCCTCACACAGGTGAGTGGGTTTGACAAACCACATGTAGAAACATTCTTTCCTTCATTAAAAAATAGTTAGTGCGTCTCTGATATTTCCACTTCTAATTGAATCGCTGAATGCCATCTCAATTTTAAATCGCTTTCGATAAAAAAGTTCTGCTAAATGACTAAATATAAATGTAAATAACAAAATAAATCCTAATTCTGAGAAAAGAGTGAAATGCAAACCATAATAACTCATAGGAAAGATAATGTTCAAATTAATTATAATAATTAATAATTTAAAAAATAATAAATATTAAAATATAATATATTTTATCATATTTTATAAAAATATAATATTTTATAAAAATAAAAAATATTATTTAATAAAAATTTAAATAATAATTTCCCCGCTTTGTAAAATAAATAATAAAAGCTTTGATAGTAAACCACAATTATGCCCACTTTAAGAGGTTAAATATTTAAAGTGACATATGACAAAACCACAGCTCATGCTTGAAGTAAACAGAAATGTGGATGAAAACATCAATATCTTTAAAGTTATCAATCTCAATGTGAACAATCTTTGGAAAAAAAATATATAATAAAGTTCAAAACAATAATAATCTACACATATGAAGTAAAGACGCATAAATACTGATGAATGTTTTGGCTGGTAAACACAAAGGTGAACCATTAGTGTCCAGGTAAGTGGAGATGACATGATGGGGCATGTTGTGAGCTCTGCTTTTTTTTTCGTGGTTGTCATGTGACTGTGCCTGCGCTGTGCTATGATCACATTGCATTAACCCATCATAACAGATCGCTGACCCCGAATAACGCTGCCCGAACCGAAGTCTGTCTGCATAGTTCCTTTATACTGAAGGTTTAAATGAACACAAGCCTTACAAAAGCACATGCCACTGCAAACAGAGTTAGAAATAGTTCATCTAAAAACAATCCGACATTTACTCACAGGCATGTCTAAACTTGAACTTTCTCTTGTCCGGGGAACTCAAGTGCAAATATTTAATATGCACCTAATACATGAATACACCTAATACATGAAAAATGCTTAAAAGCACCATTAATAAAGTAGCGTTTCTTCTATATACGCTAGGTAATGCTGGGTTTAGACTACACAATATGTTTTATCATGCACAGTCGTGTAATCAAGGGAAATAGCACAAGATTAGTGTCAGGCCTTATTAATAAATCTGATATGTAAATTTAAAAATATAATATAATCTTGCGAGTTATATGTCATTGAAAATGCAACAGTGATGAATGATGTCAAGTCTGACATTGCCATTGTTAAATCAATACCTTTATCGAGACCCCAACTTTTTCCTCCAATGTTTTAATGACCTTTACATATGGTGCCGAAAGCAAAACATTATATTATCAATTGATTATTTCGCAATTTTGACTCACTTTTCAGTATACGTTTACATTCGGTTGTAGTGTAAATTTGTAGAGTAAATACAGAAATTGGATACAGGTTTATTTTTAAAAGAAGATGTGACCAAATTTGATGTCACAGACTTTGAATTGGGTATCAATTCCTGCAATGTAAATACATCAATATTGTGTAATATGAACTACACTATGAACTGCAATACTCACTACAGCATTAAAACTGTAGTGAGTATGATGCCATTGAATTATGAATTCCCATGTCCCAAAAAAGGCCATGCTGTACCTGTTTGCTACCTAATCTAATGTTACTATAATATAATACAGGGTTTCTCAACCACGTTCCTGGAGAACCACAAGCTCAGCACAATTTCCATGTCTCCTTAACAAACACACCTGATGCAGATCATTAGCAGAGACTGAAAGACCTGTAATGGGTGTGACAAAGGAGACATCCACAACTGCAGTGCTGGTGGTCCTCCAGGAATGTGGTTGAGAAACACTGACATAATATAATATAATATAATATAATATAATATAATATAATATAATATAATAATTTTCTTTTTGGCTTAGTCAATTTATTTATCAGGGGTCGCTTCTAGGGAATGAACCGCCAACTTATCCAGCAGGGGCAGTTCATTCCGCTGTGGCAACTGATTAATAAAGGGTCTAAGTCGAAAAGAAAATGAATAATATACTAATTAGATTAATATAATTATTAATCTAATTATTTTTAATAATTATTAACACTGCAGTCATGTTTTCACTATAACATTACAACTAATTAATAAAAGATTGCCACAGTAGCTCTCAAACATGATTCGCCTACAGTACATTCAAGTTAAGGTAAAGCGTTATTGACTTCAAACCATGTGCTTTCTGTTTTTTACAACACTTTAAACAACAGCAGTTTCAATTAATTTGGTGACCCTGACACAAAATGATATCAAATATACAGAAGTTTTGCAATATAGTGCACATGTCCTTCCGGAAAAGTACTGTAGATTGAGTTTTATAGTAAAATAATGGCGATGTTGACATGCGAGAGTGAGTAAATGACAGAATGGTCAACTTTAGATGAATTATCCCATATTGAAAATAATAATAGGTTCTGCGTCCCAATTTGCCAATTTATACTATATCCTATGTACTTTTTTTGCAAAGTCAAAAAAAAGTACATGAGTTCATAACAGATAAGTGTGCAAGCTGTGGTACATACTAGCTCATTAACGGATCGTTATTTTGCTTAGTTACGTGCCCTGTCATAGTGCTCAACACATTATCCATATTTCTATCCTATTTAATTAAACATCTTACTGGAGATGCATTAACAGGATAGGGTTAGGTAACAATAAATCACTAACCTGATTTCCATTAAGTTATACATGTTCCTGAATTAACATCTATGTGAACAACATTCTGCCAATCAGATTTAAGGGGTACATTTACAGTTCATGTTCATGTTAGGCTTACGGTTAGGTTTATGCACCTCTACATGATTGTTATCCAACTATTATTCCCCTCTGATTTTGGGAATGTTTAACAGTGATGGTTGGGTTTAGGGGTAGGGAATAGGTATGGATTACATTTTCAAACAAAAATGATGTTTCAGGATCAACATAGATGTTAATCCAGGATTGCATAATACTTGGAAAAATCATGATGTGCAACCCTAAATCTCCTCAGGTCTTTGCATAATTATTCATTCAGAAATTAATGTCCAAACACGTCTTTATAGAAGTTCTCCTTATTGTTGCAGATGAAATATAACATAAAAATCCAGCCTGATCTCTCTAGGAAACATAACTTATTTAATGTTTCGTCAGTTTAGTGGCTAATTCGTACGAATTCAGTCATGAAAATGTACTAGTTTTTAAAGGAAGAGTGGCACTAAACCCCGCCCCTAACCCTAACCGTCATTGGGAGATGAGCAAATTGTACTGAATTGTACGAATGAGATTGTAAGATTTCATAGGATTTAACTGCTAAATCAAAATGTTAGGAACTGCCGTGAGATACCAAAAAAACAACATGATTTAAATATTTTCTAGTAGGCTAGATATTAAAAGTCATTCAAACATCTTTACCAAAGCTTCTCTAATGATGGTTGGTCTTGTTCGTCAGCCATGTTTGTAGCTTGTTTACACTTTTTATCCGCGTTTGTAGTTTCAATTGAATTCACATCCAAAGTGCAATGGATTGTAGGCAATATTAGTGGTTATTCTACACTTTACATTTCTATATAGTAAAAAGTGTGCTTCACACAGGTTTGACAAACCACCTGTAGAAACATTCCTCCTTCTATTAAATTAAAAGTGCTTTTCTGATATCACTTCTTCTTGTTGAATCGCTGAATGCGTCCTCAATTGTAGGTCGCCTTGGACAAAAGCGTCTGCTAAAAGTAATCTAAATTTTAAAAAATCCTAATTCTGTAAGAAGACTGAAATCCACACCACACCAACCCATTAGGAAGATAATGTTATAGAAGGAATCACTTTCACAATAATTTTGGAGAATAACATCCAAATTTGATATTTGATTGCAAATTACAATTATTCCTACATTAAGAGGTTATGGATAGTGACCATCGGGGAAACATACAGTTTGAGACATACTAATTCTATGTACGCGAATTGGGACGCAGCATTAGTCTTCACAACACACAAGAAAGACGACCGGTATTCAAAAGTTGCGATGACATCATCACCATCAGTTATACATCTTGAATGTTGACGTGTGGATTGGCTCATCTTGCTGCTTCTATGTCTGACAGTAATAGTGTGCAGAATCTTGCTTCAGTGTGCGTGAGTCTGTCCAATCCCATTCCTACCTTCTTCCTATTCCCAACCGGAAGCCATGGCAGCCATCAGACGGTGGGTGTCCTGTACACAGGGTCCCGCTCCTGCACCAGTGCTCCCCCTGCTGGTCTAATGTGTGCATTGTCCTGTCCCTGTGGTTCCCTTGCTGTGTTGTGCTGACCTTTCAAAGGCCTTAGAGTGTCTGCTGCAGCTGAATGAGGCTCGGGCCAAATATGAGGAGTTTTGCATCCCGCTCTGTATGCTGCCTGCAACCATTAGTAACAATGTGCCCGGCACTGACCTTAGTATCGGGGCAGATACAGCCCTCAATGCTATCGTGGAGGTAAGAAGCAACGAAACTAAACCTCCTTCTTGTGCTTAAAGGGTCATTCTTAGGAAACATTTCATGCAGGTGTGTTATTGGAAAAGCAAAGTCTGTTGCATTGAGATTTTAGGGGTTTGATGATAATAGATTTGCATTATTTACAGTCAAGATTCTTGTTTGTAATATTTTTATAATAATAATTATAATAATTATGACTCTGCCAAAAGAGTATTAATATTGATAAAGATTGTCAAATAAATGTTGATGTTATGGATGCTGTATGGCTTGTATTACTTTTAAAGAGATAATTATGCATTTTAAAATAATTCTAATATAAAAATACCACATTATGCATGTAAAATGCCCTATTACACTGTAAAACGACCTTGAAAAAGTGACTAAACCCATTGCCTTAAAAGCAACAAGTTGATTTTACTTAAAGTGGTCAGTAAACCCATTTACTTGACTTGACTTTTATAATTATGCACATAGTTTGTTAACTCAATTTTTATAAGGAAACACTTTTACTCTTTTTTTAAGTAGTCAACTAATTGCTTTTTACAGTGTATGCAAATGCAGTGCATCTCTTGTTTTTTTCCTTGTTTATTAAAACTGTACTTATATTTTTCCCCAACATATTATTTGGGTGTACTAATGTATGGTCTCTGATCTTGAGATGTTTTCTTTTGCTAGATTAGTTCCAATATTGGTTTTGGCACTGACTAATCTAATGTATATGCACATATATATATATATATATATATATATATATATATATATATATATATATATATATATATATATATATATATATATATACATATATAGAATTATTAGCCCCTCTGAATTATAAGACCCCTTGTTTATTTTTTTCCCAAATTTCTGTTTAACAGAGAGAAGATTTTTCCAGCACATTTCTAATCATAATAGTTTTAATAACTCATTTCTAATAACTGAATTATTTTATCTTTGTCATGATGACAGTAAATAATATTTGACTATATAATTTTTTAAGACACTTCTATACAGCTTAAAGTGACATTTAAAGGCTTTACTAGGTTATTTAGGTTAACTAGGCTAGGTAATTAGGCAAGTTATTGTATAACGATGGTTTGTTCTGTACACTATCGAAACAAAAATTTGCTTGAAGGGGCTAATAATTTTTAAAATGGTGTTTAAAAAATTAAAAACTGCTTTTATTGCAGCCGAAATAAAGCAATTAAGACTTTCTCCAGAAGAAAAAATATTATCAGACATACTGTGAAACTTTTCTTGCTCTGTTAAATTGTAATTTTTTTTTTTAAATTAAAAGGGGGGCTAATAATTCTGACTTCAACTATATATATATATATATATATATATATAGTTTTTAATGAAAATGCCTTTTAAAAGCAAAATTTTTGCAGAATTTTCTATATTGTTTCTTTTTTTATATATGTAAGGATATTTACATACATAGCATACTAATGTCTCCTAAGAATGACTCTAATATATATATATACAGCAATATGTTTATATATAGAGTGAGGAGCATTATTGTGTATCACAAATAGTTCTGTTAGTACAGAGAGTGCTTCATAATGTCATGTACAGTAAGCACTCTTAAGCTCCTGAAAGCCAATATATAATGAACTTTATCTTTCCAAAGCACTCTGTGAATGTGAACTTGTTTACCTTTGAGTAGATTCACTGTCGTATGTTAAATATTCCATGTCTACAAACTGATCGATGTTCAAAATAATTCTTAAAGAAAGACATTTGTAGATTAGCTTTAATGTAGACGCTGAATGACTAATTGTGTGTGTGTGTGTGTGTGTGTTTGTCAGACGTGTGACCGTATTAAGCAGTCTGCCAGCGGCACGAAGCGCCGTGTGTTTATCATAGAGACGATGGGGGGCTACTGTGGGTATCTGGCCACTGTCGGTGGTCTGGCTGCTGGAGCAGATGCTGCGTACATCTTTGAGGAGCCGTTTGACATCAGAGACCTACAGGTTAGCAGCTCGCACACGCCTCTGAACTACTAGTCTCCTGGTAATAGTAACATAATTTAATATGCCACTTGTTATCATATGATGTTATTTAAACATTGCTTCAGAAATGTTAGCGCCATCTGTTGGTTAAATGAAGGTACTGCTGTCTTTTTTGCTTCAGGCTAATGTTGAGCACTTAACAGAGAAAATGAAGACCAGCATTCAGAGAGGACTAGTTCTGAGGTATCCATCCATCCATCCATCCATCCATCCATCCATCCATCCATCTATCTATCTATCTATCTATCTATCTATCTATCTATCTATCTATCTATCTATCTATCTATCTATCTATCTATCTATCTATCTATCTATCTATCTATCGTTCTATCGTTCTATCTATCTATCGTTTTATCGTTCTATCTATCTATCCATCGTTCTATCTATCTATCTATCTATCTATCTATCTATCTATCTATCTATCTATCTATCTATCTATCTATCTATCTATCTATCTATCTATCTATCTATCTATCTATCTATCTTTCTATCGTTCTATCCATCGTTCTTTCTATCTATCTATCTATCTATCTATCTATCTATCCATCCATCCATCCATCCATCCATCCATCCATGTCTATACATTTCTGTCTGTCATGCAGCACAGTAAGTATGCATGATTTACAGAGTTGTACCATGTACGGTGTGTTTAAAGGAGTGATCAGAGGCTCAGGTTTTCATCAGACTCTCCTCACCCATCCTCTCTTGTGTTCATTCAGGAACGAGAACAGCAATGAAAACTACACCACAGACTTCATCTATCAGCTCTATACTGAAGAAGGCAAGGGAGTGTTTGACTGCAGGAAGAACGTTCTGGGTCACATGCAGCAGGTACTGCACTTACTGTAAATCATAAATCAAAGACGACCGAGGCCCACAGGCACCGTTTAACTCCAGTCTAATCAATCAACGTTCTGTTGCAGACATACACTTTTCCTTTGCACGTTATAACCCATACCCGTATCCTGCACTTGCTGCTATTGCACTGCTGGTTAGACTTAAACTGCATTCTGTTGCATTGTACTTGTACATGTGTAATGACAATAACGTTGAACCTAATCTATCCTAATCTAAAAAACAAAGTCAAATTATTAGCCTCTTAACAGCTCTCCTGTGACTTTACTATTATGTTTGACAGAGCAAGAAATGCTTTATTTATGTTTAATAACGTAAATGGCTAGAATAAAAGCAGTTAAAAAAACAATACTATCAATATTATTAGCCCTCTTAAGCTATATTTTTTCAATAGTCTACAGAACAAACCATCATAATACAATGACTTGCATAATTACCCTAGTTAAGCCTTTAAATGTCACTTTAAGCTCAACACTAGTATTTTGAAATATATCTAGTCAAATATTATGTGCTGTCATCATGGCAAAGATAAAATAAATCAGTTATTAGAAATGAGCTATTGAAACTCTAATGTTTACAAATGTGATAAACAGAAATTGGGGAAAAATAATATAAGGCGGAGGCTAATAATATAAACTTATAATTACCTTATGCAATTATTAATATTTTTATGTTCTATATGAATGTACAAGTGTACGATGTTGTCACTGTAGGCATCTTTAGCGAATTCAATATTAATAATATAAAACTTTATATACTGAATACTATTATTAAGTAAAATAAAGGACATGAACGCAAAATAAATCATAAATGAATACAATTCTTACTAACTTCTATATTTATCTTTCATTAGGGTGGCGCTCCTTCTCCATTTGACCGTAACTTCGGGACCAAAATCTCTGCAAAGGCCATGCAGTGGATCACCAAGAAACTGAATGAAAGCTACAGACGTGGTATGAATTGATATCTCTCACATTTTAATGACGCAAACTGTACTGAAGCGCTTTTCAGCTCTCAATAGAACTCAATCACCACTCGGCCTTGTGTTTTTGACCTGCGCTGTTAAACACGAGGCACTCAGTAACTGTTAAAGTGCAATCATGACTGAACAAATACATCATACAGTGGTACTCAATGTAACACTTGACCTTGATTTACTTGATTTTGGAATATTACATTAGATTCACTGCCATTTGTTCAGCTCAGTTTTGTGTGTGTGTCTGTTTTTTCACTCCTTTGGCTGTGCCTGTGGATGAATAAAGATGAAGGTAAATATCTGTATTTTATTTAGCCAGATTTGGTGACCTCAATTATCTTATTCAGTGGTAACATTTGTATTAATTATTACTTATATAATAATGTTTGTAAAATTATAATGCTTTTTTTAAAGGCTAGATCATATATTAGACTATATTATACTGTATATATTTATATTATATTATACTGAATATATTTATATCATTTAAATATATTTATATTATTTAAATATATATATATATATATATATATATATATATATATATATATATATATATATATATATATATAGAATTTATCTTTTACATTTCTGTTGTATTTGTGTTTGTGTGTGTTAATTTATTCCTTTTTAAAAATTTGTAATTTTTAATTTGTATTTTTGTAATTTTTTTGGTATTCGTTTTCATCTTGGTAACTTATATAATATGTTTTTTTTTTCTTTTATATGAGTACATAATTATGTATTTTTCATGGCGTCTGGTAGATAACATTTGTATTAATTTGAACTTTTACATAATATGTTTTTAAATGTGTGTATTGAGTTGATTAGCCATTTCTAATGTTTTGCAGCCAATTTTCTAATTTCGTCCTCTCCAGCTGTTTAGTAAAGATTTACATTAAATATTTCATGATATATATATATATATATATATATAATTTATTTATTTATTTAAATTGCTGTTTTTGTTTTGTTTTTTTGGTATTAGTTTTCCTCTTTCTTACATATTAGCTGTTACATATTTTATTTTACTTTATACAAGTAAAAAAAAACAAGTATTTTTCATGGTTTCTGGTAACCCTGATATAAACCATGCATATATTTGTTATTCATCCATACAATGCAGCTATTTACAAACAAATTACCTGCAAAAATACCATCTAGCGTTGGTTTTGTCAGTTATGTGGATGTGTGCTAAACCTGTGTGTGTGCTGTGCAGGGAGAGTGTTCGCTAACACAGAAGACTCGGCCTGTTTGCTGGGCATGCGGCGTCGTGCAATGGTCTTCCAGCCTGTGGTTCAGCTCAAAGATGAGACTGACTTTGTGTACGGACACACACATACAACGATTCTTATCTGCATCCACAAAAAATAAACCGAAAGTGACCTTGACCTGACTCTCTTTTCTATGTGTTCAGTCACAGAATCCCAAAGGAGCAGTGGTGGCTGAAGTTGCGTCCACTCATGAAGATCCTGGCCAAGTATAAAACCAGTTACGACGTGTCAGACTCTGGACAGCTGGAGCACGTGGTGGTCAACCGACCCAAAGCATCCGAAACCACCGTTACCATTTAATCCTATTTAAATCTAAATAACGACAGCGTTCATAGGTCATGCTTTCAACAGGTCCATCTGTACTGTGAACACTGTCACCCACACTTTTGTTCTCTGGACCTGCTCTTTTTTTTGTTGTTGTTGTCATTGCTTTTTGTTTCGACTTGTCTCATTTTACAGATATCAGTGTTAATCGTAGGAGAGTGTAAGAAGCAGTGCTGTTTTTAATGTCCTCTCACTCGTCACACCTTGCAATAGTGTACGCTTCAAAGCACATATACAGTTGAAGTCAATATTATTCGCCCTCCTGTGGATTTTCTTTATCAAATGTTTCCTAAATGATGTTTAACAGAGCAAGGAATTTTTCACAGTATTTCCTATAATATTTTTTCTTCTAGAGAAAGTCTGATTTGTTTTATTTCGGCTAGAATAAAAACAGTTTTAAATATTTTTATAAATTCAAATTAAGCATTTTGAGCATTTTAATTAAGCATTTTGTTTTCGATTGTCTACAGAATAAACTAGTATGTTTCGAAATGTGCTCAAAAAATCTTATGGAGTAAACTTGTCAACAAAACTTTGGCAGGAGAACCACACCTCACTTTGTCTCCTTAACCAATCACCTACTTCCTAAACGTATTTAAGGCACACCAACCCTCTAGCACTGTTCTTCTCATTCTCTTAAACCCACCCTCCCTCCCTCTAGTTCCTCGCTTCCCATTAACAATCCTATAACCCTCTCTTCCATCCTAGGTTGAATCGGTGAGTCCAATGACTCTACCAAAATATTAGAGAAGGTACCCCCACTCAGAGTCTCTGGGAATCCGATCAACCTACTTACCTGTTCACTGTTTATCCTCTTACTTCCCTTCCCCTTCATCCCACTGTTCCCTTACCATCCCTTTCATGCCTACAATAGCTGAAAGTGTGGTGTCGTCTATCCTGATGAAAAATATCCAGGGGGGGCTAATAATTCTAACTTCAGCTGTATCTCTTTCCCTCAGAGATAATCGAAAACTCCACGTTTTTGGGTGTTGAGCATTTTGTGCGGTGAAGTCCACATTGCTTTAGAGCACCTTTGATGTTTGAATGTATTGCATCATCAAGTGTGAACGTTTGCCTGACCAATAAATCCACAATCACCGTGTGTGAAAATCAGCGTTATGATGTTTGATTATGCGGTACATTAACATACTTATGACCCTGAACATGGTACCCTATATTTGTTTGACTGCACTATAAAAAAATGCTGTGTTTCAACAGATACATACACATAATTAATCATAATAATATCTAAAGATGCCGATCTTGTTGCTTTTTTTTTTCAAACACAACTAATTTCATCCTAAATGGGCATAAAAAGTTAGGAAAGCAATCGAATGCTTTCATTATAGCATTAGATGTGTGCAATTTTAAAGTGACACCTGTTACTTAATGTAATCAAACGAAAAAAAAAATCTAAATAAATGAGAGATTCATTCATTGCTCTTTAATCTGAATGTGTAAGTTATACAGTGAAGAAATGGCTAATGAGATTTGATAGCTATTTCATTATAATAGCTATTCATTTTAATAAGCTGGACTGTTTGCTAATGTATTTGCTGCTAAGGTACATTATTTATTTTTTCTTTCGTAAATAATAATATTAAAATGTTACTGACCATTTAACTGTTTATATACAATAGAACAGCTCCAAATGTACATATTAGTTAAGGGATTTGGGATGAATCCCTTATTATGGTGGGCATATGCCTTATTTTCACATCACAATGTTGACAGGTAGGTATGTATTCTCACTCAATGACAATCCTACCTGCTCATTCGTGTGTTGGGCTCATGACTGGTGCTTGGTGGTAACGTTACAGGGCCTGGCTCTTCACTGTTAGCAGCAAACTGGACTAGAGGCTGCTGCTGCTGAAGAGCTACAGTACAAGAAAACGTTCGGTACATTAACATGAGCGGTGGTTTGCAGACATCGTTGTTTTGCACTGCTCCTAACTCAACGTTAACTTACCGACGATGGTGTTCATTTGTTGTACTCCCTGCCGTTGGTTTTAAAGAAAAAATGTACTCAGCTTAGTACATTTGGCAAAGTAAGTTTCTAGAGCTTTCTTATTTTACATTACGGCCTTTTCAGCGCCTCATTTGCGCTTTTTATTATCCATTTTTTCACCTCTCGCCGCTCGCGGATCTCTTAACAACGCTGTCTGGCCAGTCGATTGATAATTACGTCATCAGTAACCTGCAGGCGGCTCATGAGGCTGCAAGAAAATAAATAAAAGAGTGGAGCTGCTGTAAAATAATGAATAAATAGTGCGGCTATGGCACAAAATATTAATAATTAATTAAATAAATAAATAAGTGTGACTGATGTGAGTGCAGGCAGCTAGGGACTACGGCACTCGCGGGCGATTAGCCAATCAGGGACTGGCAGGATTAACCACAAGACCCTGGTGAGTACACCTGTAATGTACAGAAAGCCGTTGAATGGACCGTCTTCACAAGCCTGTTATTACGCGTTTAACGGTCATCATAATCTTAAATCCTTAAAAGTTTTTATTATTTTTTTAACGTATGAACACACACACATATATATATATATATATATATATATATATATATATATATATATATATATATATATATATATATATATATATATGTGTGTGTGTGTGTGTGTGTGTGTGTGTGTGTGTGTTATATCTTGCGTCAAATTACATACAACGACTTACCGCTTATGCGAGGTGTTTCTAAATGCAGCTAAATTTAAAGTTATTCTCGACTCTGGCTGCGATTATCAGTCTTACACCATTTCTTCCTTTTTCTGAAAGTCTTGATGACACCATAGTGGAGTTTTTCTTTTATTATTTCAGCAAATAGGTTTGTAAAAATTGATTTGTTGTACTCTCCCATTTACTGCGCTTTAGTTTCCCCAGCTATGGCGTCTCCCGCTACTGAATATGTGAAAAGTTTCTATTAAAAAATGGTTATTGCGACTTTTTAGATTTGCGTGATACACAATATTGACATTATAACTCACAGTTTTGGGTGTACATCTCACAATTCTGAGGGGGAAAAGTCAAGATAAAGAGTCACAATAACCCATGTATCATTAAGAGGCGGGCTTCCATGTAATGTTACACAGTATTTTGGCATCATATGCTTATTTTTTATGTAAGGCACTGCAAATTTGTTTAAGTTGAGTAGACTTTGCAACAGCATTATGAATAGCGTTTATCTATCTGATTAATCAATTAGATAATCAGGCCTACCAATCAAACCTTAAGAAATTATTTATGTTATTGAGAGGTGATAGTCTCATAATATATACTTAAAATTTGGAAAGCACTGGTGGATTTTATACCAACAAATGTTGCTATATCGCCAAACTAGTTATGCTTCTTGTTATGCTTCTTAAGGTAGCAACTAGGCTACCTTAAAGCTTTTTCAGTATGATTTGACTGCTTCGTTCAACTGTGGAAAAGTAAAATAAATTTTATTTTGGCCTAATGCTTTCAACTGAATCGAATTATTGATTGTCACAATAATTAAAACGAGTTATGATGTCTAGAACGAAATAACACATTGTGATTCTCTGTTTATCCAGAGGGTGGCAGCAGAGCACCATCACACTATCAGCTGTGAGCACGTGTTTTGCAGCATGGTCTTCATACTCCTGTCAGATTCACACATACCACAACCTCCACATCTTCATCATGCACTTATGGTATGTATACAGCAGGCCTATGTGTCTGTAAAGAGATATAATCATATTGCTGAAACTAAATCAAGTAAAATGATGAATGAAGAGGTGAAAAACCTGAAGTGCCATTTTGTGTCTTACAAAATGACGATTTTTCTCAGTCCCCAATCTTTATGTTCTCTCTAAAGGCAATGAAAATAGCATATTCTTCGCCATAACTTAGATGTTTTTGCATCTGAATGCTTCATATGTGTGAAAGTTCACCAATTGACAATTTATTCCACGCTCTTATGTTTATATTCAGTTATTTCACTGTAAAGGCAACAAAAATAGCAAATTATTTGCCATAACTTCAAGGTTTTGGCATCCCTTTAAATGTTTCAAAGTGCACCACATGACGATGTTTCTCTGTTCATGCTTGGTTATTTCACTTTTAAGGCAATACATATGCATCCCATTTGCCATAACGTATTAGATATTTAGGCATAGGAACTCTTTAAATATGTCAAAGTTCACCTAATGATGATTTTTCTCAGGCTCCTATGTTTATGTTTGGTTATTTCACTTTAAAGGTAATGAAAATAACATATTATTTGCCATAGCTTAGTTTTTTTCTTTTGCATTCGAACCCTACAAAAGTGTCAAAGTTGACCAAAATGACAAATTTTCTCAGACTCCCATGTTTATGTTTACTTATTTCACCTTAAAGGCAATGAAAATTGCATATTATTTGCCATTACTTGTATGTTTTTTTGCATCTGAACTCATCAAATTATGATTTTTTTAAAGGGTCATATGTTTGTGTTCACTTTGTCACTGGAAAGACAATGAAAATAACATTATTTGCCATAACGTAGAGTTTTTGGCATCTGAAGCCTTCATATGTGTCAGTTTACCAAATTGACTATTTTTCTCAGGCTTAAAGGTTTATGTTTACTTATTTCACCTTAAAAGCAATGAAAATAGCATGTTATTTGCCATAAGTTGTATGTTTTTTGCATCTGAACTCTTCAAATTATGATTTTTTTAAGGGACCTATGTTTATGTTTACTTATTTCACCTTAAAGGCAATGAAAATAGCATATTATTTGCCATAACTTGGACTTTTTTTTGCATCTAAACTCTTCAAAAGTGTCGAAGTTAACCAAAATGACTCCTTTTTATCAAGCTTCCATGTTTAAATTCAGTTATTACAATTTAAATGCAATGAAAATAGCATATTATTTGCCATAACTTAGAGGTTTTTACATCTGAACTCTTCAAATGTGCCAAAGTTCACCAAATGATTATTATTGTTTTAGGGGCCTATGTTTATGTTCAGTTCTTTTACTTTAAATGCAATGAAAATAGCATACTATTTGCCATAACTTAGAGTTTTTGGTATCTGAAGCCTTCAAATATGTCAAAGTTTACCAAAATGACAATTTTTCTCAGGCTCCTAGGTTTGTGTTTACTTATTTCACCTTAAAGGCAATGAAAATAGCATATTATTTGCCATTACTTTGCCATTACAGTGCATCTGGACTCTTCAAAAGTGTCCAAGTTAACCAAAATGACTCCTTTTTATCAAGCTTCCATGTTTAAATTCAGTTATTACATTTTAAATGCAATTAAAATAGCATATTCTTTGCCATAGCTTAAAGGTTTTTGCAATTTTACTTTTCAAATGAGCCAAAGTTCACCAAAATGACAATTTTATTCAGACTACCATGTTCATGTTCAGATATTTCACTTTAAATGCAAAGGAAATAGCATATTATTTGCCAAAACGTGGAAGTTTTTGCATCTGATCTCTTCAAATAATGATTTTTTAAAAGTGTCTTATGTTTGTTCATTTATTTCACTGGTAGACAATTAAAATAGCATAACATTTGCCATAAAATAGAGGTTTTTGCAATTGTACTCTTCAAATGTGTCAACGTTTACCAAAATGACGATTTTTATCAGACTCCCATGTTTAAATTGAGTTAATTAGTTTTAAATGCAATTAAAATAGCATTTAATTTGCCACAACTTAAAGGTTTTTGCAATTGTACTCTTCAAATGTGCCAAAGTTCACCAAAATGATCACTTATTTCAGGCTCCCATGTTTATGTTCTGATATTTCACTGCAAAGGATATGAAAATAGCATATCATTTGCTTTAACTTGGATGTTTTTGCATCTGAACTTTTCAAAGTTCAACAAAATGATGATACTGTTTAAGAGTCCCATGTTTATATTCAGTTAATGCATTGTAAAGGCAATGAAAATAGCATATTACTTGCCATAACTTAAAGGTTTTTGCATTTGAGCTTTTCAAATGTGCCAAAGTTCACTAAAATGACGATTTTTATCAGGCCCCATGTTTATTTTTCATGATTTCACTTTAAAGGCAATAAAAACAGCATATCATTTGCTATATCACAGAGGTTTTTGCATCTGATCTCTTTAAATGTGTCAAAGTTCATCAAACA